TGGTGATGCATGATTGGCGGTGCAAATGTCACACGCTACTATGTCAAGGGCAAAAGAGGCGAGCAGTCAAAGCTAGATGAGAGGGAGATAATATGATATCGCTGGGTATACCGTATCACGATGAAAGGTAAGGGTCCATGTTCCTGTGGTATAACAAATAACTATGCCTCGCAGGTGGTTAACCGTCATGGCCAGCTATTTTCGACAACGTACACGTACGTCTGCTGCTGACTACTTCCCTACAATAACCCAATGCAGCCTACCGTTTATTATTCCTATCGTGTTCCGATCTTCTCTCCCCATACCCCATGCTCCATAACGGCTCCTTCACTTTTCGCCCTCTCCTTGATCTTCTTGCGGTGGTGGGGGGCGAACCAGACGGGAGAGAGTTGCAAATTTGCCCTGTCATTCCTTGCTTGCCTTTGCCAAAAAGGTGTGTTCCGTACCCCGTCTGGAGTTGCTATCTCTGACGTTACGTTTTGCCCAGGCCGAGCTTCAACCCTTGGTTTCTTTTCTTTTGTTTTACTCTTCCTTTTCTTTTTCCCCCTTTCCTTCTCCTCACTCATGCTTCGGACAAGACCGACCTTCGGCCCTCTGGGATCAAAATCGCTACCAAACTTAGAGAGCGACGGGGCACGAATCACGAAGGGGCCAGGGAAGTGGCAGAGCGTTTCGAAGGGAAGATCCAGGCTCACTCAGGTCTACCCACTGACCTTCTTGGCCGCTTCAGATTATACTCTCCCCGCGCGGGAGCCTTGTCGAATATTACCTAGATCTCAGTTCGATATCAAGGTGCTATGACCTGCAGATGGACGCCTTGCCTCCTGGTTCGCTCAGCCTTCCCAACCCCAAACCACTATCCTGTTTCGGCTATCCGGCAAGACGAGCTGAGATCCAAAGCCAGAGGATGAATGGAAGCAAGTCTGGGGGAAATTGATTTCTTAGAGGACAAAAATAATCCCGCAAAATCCAGACTCCTCCATGGCTATTAACCCATCGAGCAGAGGAAGGGTTGCATCTGGGACGGCTTACGAATCTTACTCGGATCCGTATATTGCCTCCTCCATGCGCATGTATGGGGAACGGGGGCTATGTTCAGCTGATAATATATTAGGGTTATGAGCATATCAGATATACTCTATTCCATGATCGCCGTTGAACAGTTTTCTTTTCCGCGGGATGGTTTTGTTTGCGGGAGATATCAAAGAGGTATTAAATGTGGCATTGAGGAGGTGCTGGGGGGTGCCTGTAGGTACCTATGCTACCTGATGCAGGAGGCAAAACTTAATGTGACCTCGCCTTCTACAAGATATCAAAGTACTTGCTTGCCGGTAGAGACAGACAAAGTGTACACATACGCACAGTAATATAAACATGACTACAACGTCACTACAAACAAGCTTTTTATACAGGTATCTCCTGACCAGGGGCAGGTGCATAACCTGAACCTCAGCCCTATACAAGGCCAAAGAATCTATATATCATAGGGCTGGATATCAACGATGCCCGTTTGTCCATGCTGTCTTCAGACGTCTGATAGAAACAGTGTGAAGCGCTTATACCAGAGCTGCAGGTCTCTTCTTCCACCATCTCAAATTGTCCGTCTATGCGGCAGTGACATCGCATACATATCCACCCGTATATCACCAAGCCCAACAAGCAGAAACAGAAAGACAGAGTTAAGCCTCCACCACCCTCAACGGCGTTCCATGACACCGCAAAGCGTGTCGGTATCATGGTTCACAACCACATGGCGAAGGAATGGTGTTTCCATCCTCAAGAGCCCTGACACAGCACTAAGATAGGCGTGGATTGTTATGGCATGGCACGGCGGCATGGCAATCCATAGCAGCCCAACAATAAAGCTCACGAGGATGGCACTCTTGTGAAGGACTCACGAATATCGAATATCAGAAACGGTGACACCTACACGGAACCATCATCCTCTCTATGTGTAGCGTGGTACATGACCGACGATTGACTTCGAATAACCATAGGAGATGTAAAGGGAAAAGGGTGTGTGGGTGGGTGGGAAGTGGAAAGGAGGCAGTGCTTTTATATCATTAGCATTAGGCCATTGATTCGCAGAGAGTAGAGCGTGGAATGAAATGCAATTTTATCGAGACATTATAAACAACAGCTTGGATCCCATATCCCAATGAAAAGAAAAAGAGCAGGAGGGCAGGATGAAGATAGATGGCGTCATGGTAGAGGATTGAATGAGAGTCATTATTTGGAGTCCGCGCTCTTCTTAGCGAATTCGACTCGAAGAATCAAGTGTCGATAACCAACTACACACGCATTAGTTTCATGTTCAAATGGAGGGACCAAAAAGACGAAATGCATCAACTTACAGCCGTCCATCTTGTCACAAGCACGAGCAGCATCACTCCTGTCCGCAAAACTGATGAAAGCAAAGCCCTTGGCCATATTCGTTTCTCTGTCCTTAGCAAGGAAAACTCGCGTGACTCGTCCGAACCGCTCAAACATATCGCGAAGTTCTTGTTCTTCAGCCAGCTCGGAAACCTAGTCGATTGAAGAGAAGAAAAGAGGAACAGGTTAGCCAACGAAGATATCCTCACAGAACAGTGCCCAGATATATAATTAGTTGGGATATCACTCACATTGGTAACACGCAGCGTCGCCAGGTCGTCTCTCTCATACTTGCCACCCATCTTATCACCAACACCAGCACCGCCTTTCCTCATAGCAGGAGGAACATAGCTTCCTCCGCTCTGGCCCAGTCCACCAGGAGCTGGCTTATCATCGCCACCATCCATATCCATACCCGCACCTCCAGCACCCTCGTCCACAGGTGCCATGGTATCTTTGAACGGACATCTCGCAGTGAAATGCTCGCCGTTACAAATTCGACATTTGACCTTCTTGTCCTTCAACTGTTCCTTCAAACTGCCCTTCTCGCCCTCCTTTTCAACCTCCTTAGCCTGAGCCTTCCAGTTCACGCTGGGGCGGAATATAATGTTCTCTCCGACGGAGGTGGTATCGAACGAAGGACCTGGCGGATGGCCCTTCTCCAGACCGAATTTAGCCCATCCTCTTCGCTCAGCTACGCGGGGGTTGACGTGCTCTTTGACGACTGTTGTGCGGATGCGACGGGTGGTCTTGACTTTCTTGCCATCGTCGTCGAAGCGGTATGATATCACGGTCTTGGTGCCGTCTTTGTTTGTAAGTACTTGCTGGGGCGGGAGGGCGTTGGAATCATCGAATTCCTCGTCGTCAGCCCAGTCAGCTGCCCTGTAAAGAGAGTGTTAGTGTTATTTCAAAGCGAATACTTGAGAAATTGCGCTGTGGCGGCTCTGGGGGGGTATTCTCTCCACGTACTTTGGGGGCTGTGCCATTTTGAACTCTCTTTCTGTAAATATTCTCTCCTTCCACTGGTTCTTTCAAGACTGGAGATAGCAAGGTGCAGCACTGTGGTTTGATTAAGCAGCTCGACTGTTCGTGTCTTTTTCTCTACAAAACTAATTTTGATATCAGATTTCGTGGAGTTTAGTTATCTTTGTGCCCGCGATAGATTATGTAATCACAGAAACGTTAAAAATGCTCCTACCAAATTTTAATACTTTTTGACACAAACAATTTGTTCTAAGGAGGAGAATTATTGAGTCCAAGGTGGAAAGAAATACGGATGGATAAATAGTTTAAATTGGGATATATACAGCGGGAAAATGCATGCTAGTGTGTAAAAGCAGTCATCTCCCGTGAAGGATCAAGTGTACGAGCAATCTTTCAAAGGCCCAACGCACATGAAAACGCCGATCTACCGGCATGAGACGTCGTTAAAAAACAAAAAGAACAACAGAAGAAGGGGGAGAAGAAAGTGAAAAAAAGTCTACAGCTTAGGTTTGGTGAGGTAGCCGTTGCCCTTCTTGAGCCAGGAGACAGCGTCATTGACGAGCTCGTCGACGATATCCTTGGCTGGTTTCTTCTCGTTAACCACAGCGGCGGCCTTGCCCATGAGGTGAGGACGGGCGTTGTCGATAGTCTCGTCGTCAATATCCTCCATGTGTTCAAAGTCGTGCTCGACAGGGATGATACCCTTGCTGGTGAGCTTCTTGATCTCCTCGGCACGGTTCTCCTCCCAGTTGGTGATGTATGCGTTGTTGCGGACTCGCATAGGCCGGCCCTAGAACATGTTAGTAAGAGCTGGCAGAAACCGGAAAAATGGGAGAACAAAATACATACAGTGAAGATGATTGTTCGGACGTTGTCGTCGAAACCGGCGGTGCGGACGGCCTCTTGGTGGTCCTTGGGGGCACCGGCCTCATCAGCAAGGATGAATCGAGTACCAACCCAGACACCGGAAGCACCGAGCATGAGGGCAGAGGCAACGCTCTGGCCGTTGAAGATACCGCCGGCAGCAACAACCTGGACGGGCTGGCCGGTCATGGGGCTGGTCTTGCCCTGGCAGAGCTTAGCCACGGTAGGGATAAGGATGCTGGTAGGGACGTCTCCGGTGTGGCCACCACCCTCACCACCCTGGGCGCAGATGATGTCGACACCAACGTCGAGACACTTCTGTACATGCTTGGGGTGGCCGATCATGTTCATATAAAGGATTCCAGCCGCGTGCAGTCGGTCAACGACATGCTTTGGTGGCACACCGACGGCAGAGACGAACAGCTTGGTGCCGCTCTCGATAACAACGGTGATCAGCTCGTCAAGCTTTCCCTTGGTGTAGTCGTAGCTAGAAATTGAAGTAATATCCGTTAGCAAAAGAACGAACCTCGGTACGGCATCCCAGGACCAGGGTAAACAAACTTGGTCTTTCGAGCGTTGCCTCCAACCTGTGGGAGCAACAGATCGACACCAAACGGAGCGTTCTTGTCGACGAGGTGACTCTTGATCTCCTCTACCTGCTCTCTCAACATGTCTGGGGTGTAGCCGAGGCCGCCAATAACACCCAGTCCACCAGCGTTTGTGACAGCCGCAGCGAGCTTAGGACCGGCCGCAACGTTCATGCCAGCCAGCAGGACGGGGTGCCTGATCTTCAGGAGTTCCGTGAGAGGAGTCTTGATCTGTTCTGTGTCCGCCATAGCCTGGTCAGCAGTCTCGTTCTCCCGTGAGAAAGTCTTCGAGTCGTCCTGGTGTCGTTCCTGGGCCAGGTACCGTTCTGGAGGGCGGGTCGCAAACTTACGTGGAGAAGCCATGGCTGGAGAGTGATAGCACTGCTCTGAAAAGACGAGTATATATAGTCAGACGGAGTCCTGTAGCGGTAGCAAGAGTCGCAGAGTCGCAGGAGTAGAGGGAGACAGAAGCGAAGAAGTCGACGAACGAAGGGTTGTTGGCGGCTGGCGCAGTTTTTATCCTGTGAAAAAGAGCCTCGGCTCGACGGCGGCGCCCTGGGGTAAACGCACGAACTAGCCGAGCTTCACCTGACAGTCATACGAGGTGCAGCCCAGGAGGCCGGGGGAGCAGCAGCAGGACGAGCTGCGCCGATGGTCGAACACGGCCGTGTCCAGCAGCTGGGAGGAGACTCCTCGTAGCCCGCATAGCAGTCCAGAGAGTCTTCTTACGCTGCTTTTGTAACTATTATCTCTTCCGCTAAGTTAGTTATGGCCTCCGAGACCATCTCGCCGTCGGATCATCTATAACTAGAGTGATGACTAAGCAGACAAATCTCCGATGGGGCCAAAACATGGATGGAACGACGACGAGCTTGACGGCGAGCTCAACAGCAAACGGAAGAGATGAGCCTTCTTTGTCGCCCGGGTCGAGGTCTTGCTGGCTCCCTGGGCTCGCTCGGTGAGAGGCCTAGTGCTCGAGTCTGTTACAGCGGTGTCATCGTGTAGGGATTTACTTTTTTTTTTTGCTACTCTTCTTCTATACCCCCTAGGTGAACATAGATATCTTAGACTAACAATAGCAAAGGACCCCTTGTTTGGTTAAGCATACCGTATCCGCGTCGGGGAGGCATTATGTTGGGCGTGCAGCTGTCACTTTTAGAGCTGTATCATTAAGGGAGTACTCCCAAGGCACGCTGTCCCACCGCGATAGGTCTTTGAACCACGGTACTCAATGCAGGCAGAAGCATGGTTCACTTCAAGCACCGGGACTGCAGACCAGACCAACTTGTTGCAATATTTCCTCTAGCCCATTTGCTACCGCTGGGAGAATTGGACATGGTTGCCGGTTGGTGTCTACATCCGCTATGGCCACTCCACACCCCACTCAGCGAGCCTTCATTGCTCTTGGAAGCAACCTGGGAGACCGTGTAGCTATGATCGAAGAAGCATGTAGAGAGATGGAGGCGCGAGGCATTAAGATCAGGAGAACTAGTTCTCTTTTCGAGACTGCTCCGATGTATGTGGTGGATCAGGGGACTTTCCTCAATGGGGCATGCGAGGTAAGTAGTTGATCTCGCTTTAATAGCAGTGTTTTTTTTTCTTCTAACACTTGGGTAGGTCGAAACTTCAAAAAGCCCCATGGAATTACTGGATACCCTACAATCGATAGAGATTGACATGGGAAGACGCAAGGTTATAGATAAGGGCCCTCGTAACATTGACCTGGATATCCTCCTATATGGCCATGAAACCGTCTCCAACGACCGGTTAATTGTTCCCCATAAGCTCATGCTCGAGCGAGAATTTGTCTTACGTCCCCTCTGCCAGTAAGACCATTTACCCTCCCACCCCATACCAACATCGATACTAACAATAACCCAGGCTGATACCCAATAAATACCCGCTGGTCGAGGGGGAAGGCAAAACGTATACCTCTCACTTACAAGCTCTTCCTCCATCTAACCCTCCCCCAATAGCGATGATACCAATGCCCGCAGGCCTTCCCCCAATCACCCCTACAAAGCCCTCCCGTAACACGCTTCTAATGGCAGTCCTCAACGTCACCCCGGACTCCTTCTCTGATGGCGGGATCCACTCTTCCACAGACCCAACTGCACTCCTTGAAACAGTCAAGGCATATATAGATGCCGGAGTCTCCATTATTGATGTAGGAGGCGAAAGCACTCGCCCCAACGCTGAACCAGTCACTGAAGCAGAAGAATTATCCCGTGTTATACCAGTTATAGAACTCATCAGATCTCTGCCTGAAGCGTCGAAGATCGCAATCAGCATTGACACATACCGTGCTAATGTAGCCGAAGCAGCTGTCAATGCAGGTGCGGATATAATAAACGATATATCGGCTGGCCTCCTCGACCCAGAGATGCTTCCTACTATGGCCCGACTGCAGAAAACAGTCATGCTCTCACATACGCGAGGAACACCAAAGACAATGAACAAACTCACGCATTACCCTGACGGTGTGCTAGCCGGAATCCAATCTGAACTAGCTGAACGTGTTAATGCCGCTGAACAGGCAGGTGTTCGACGATGGCGCATCATTGCCGACCCGGGTGTAGGCTTTGCCAAAACACAGGACCAGAATTTGACCATTCTCAGAAACCTTGACCAGTTAAGGCAGGCAGAGGAGCTTAAGTATATGCCTTGGCTCGTGGGAGTCAGTAGAAAGGGGTTTGTTGGTCGTATCACGGGAGTCAAGAAGGCTGGTGAACGCACTTGGGGTACTGCTGCGGCTGTTACGGCGGCCATAAGCGGTGGAGCTGACATTGTTCGTGTACACGATGTCAGCGAGATGGCTCAGGTTACTCGTATGGCTGATGCCATCTTCAGGCCGAGCTTGTAACCCCGGGGCATTGAGGCGATATTATGCCTTGGACCCGGAATCTCTGTAGATATAGTGGTATAATATACTTGATCTAGGATAGTTGCATCTGGCCCTACGCGTATCTTAGCATCGTCCAGGCCTCGTTCCCCTTCATACATGATTCAGCGTTCAATAATGCCAGCAATTCTTACTCTACTGTCCAAATTAGAGAGCGTTAGCCCGGACAACTAAGCCCTTCAGTTTGAAGCTATTAGCGTAGGAATACGGCCCCTATAGAGTAGGTGTTTCTCTCATATCTGATTATTATTTTGATCATGTAGCCCCTAATTAACGTCAATCTATCGCCGTGATTATTAAGTAAATAACAGCTTCAATTCTAATTGACGGAAGCAAAGTTGAGGCCTGTGCTAGCGGGCCGAAACTTAGATTTAACCACCTGGACCGCCAGCTTATTTGGGAAGTCCAGGGGTACAAAGTAATAGTAATTGCAGGCCTTACTAAAAATGATAACCTTGATCGGATATTTCGTAGCTCAGAGGATCACTTAATAACTAGGTTAATATTGGGGAATTTACTCAGCAGTCACCCTAGCTGATGACCAATTTCTAATTACCAATCTCAGGAGTATCATCTCAATTACTGACGAGGGTATTAACTTTTAAGCTAAATGCAGTCTGAGCCTCAGATTCAAAATCCATCTACACAATAGATAGCTTGGTTCTCGGTTATTTGTTCTCATATTTTCCATAGAAATTCTGGCTATGTTGAATTGCAATAGAGAAATTTAAATCATGCTATATTGCCAATCTAAAGATCTGTTGAAAAGTCAGATGTAGTTTCCCCCTTAGATATTCTAGGTACTAGACGGGGATTACGTACATGTCCAATTGATATCATGCTAGAACAGACAATTATTCACGTCTAGGCATCAATCAAACTTGGAGTATAGGAAAATGCAGGCAACTGGAACACATAAAGTCATTCAAACTATTCTAAATACATTTTTAAATCGCCCAACAGAAAGAGCACCGAGACTGCAAGGCCAACATTGAGTGTTCAACGAATACAAACGGGGCAAAAAAGAAGAAAAAGCCCCTAGAAGGCGAGGGTTGAGAAACGAATAAGTACACACACACGCATTAATTCACTGATCACAAACCATAAAACACATCTTGCCCACCTACCTCCAAGTACATATTCCCAACTCCCATAAGCTATGATTGGACCCAAGTAGTGGTCAAGAGCATCCCATGGTGGAATCCAAGCCGAGAGTTGCCCTCTGCCTTTTTGCTAGGAAAGTAGCAGACCGAAAAAACTCCATGATGCTAGAGAGGAAACTTGCTTGAGAGAAAGAGAGCGCCCAAATACTAAAAGTGAAATTGGGGATGAATCATGACTTATGGGAAGAAGAGGATTAATAGTAAATTTCTCTGAAACCGCACTTAAGACTCAGCTATTGAGATAATGACGGATAGCGCCTGTAAGAAAAAAAAAAAAAAAAAAAAAAAAAAAGTCAGACTGTGTATATAATGAAATGGAATTTCAGTGAGATAAACGGTTAAATCCTCACGTACCATGAAGTCTAACAGCGCCATCACCAACCAAGTTGGTCAAATTCTCAAGATCATCGCCCGCGGTAATCCCGAATTTCCGAACAAAGTCCTTAGCTGCCGTTTCCAAGTCGCCGTAATCGTCACCAGCCGGAAGTTCATCTTCAGGGCGGCCAAAGTAAGCATTGCTTGATATCGAAGTAGCGCCTTCAAAGTTGCTGAGTCGAGTCTTAGCCTCGGCCTGAGCTACGGGGTCAAACTGCTCTCTGCCGAAAAACTCATCCGACGAAATACCCTTCTGGTTGCCGAATTTGGATCTTGTTTGCTCTAATTCTTCATCTGCATGGAATTCGTTAGTGATTAAAGCAAAGAAAAAATGGATGAATTAGCAGGTTACACGTACCATCAACTGCGGAATTAGCATGTCCAACAGCACCGAATCCCAGCTTCTTTGGAGCTGGAGCCTTAGGCTTTCCAACTTGACCAAAGCCAAGGCGTCCCATGCCCATGCCCAATCTCTCAACCTCACTTGCACTCCGGTCATGACTCCGTGTGGTTCCAAAGCTAGTTCTGGGGCTTATTGGAGTAGGAGAAACTATGGATGAAGCAGATTTCCCCTTTGTAGCAGCCTCCTCTTCAGCCCTTTCAGACTCAGGATCGTACCCCAATTTTGCAATTCTCTCCGCTTCTTCTTTTGCCTTTCTCTCTGCCTCGTCAAAATCAATAGCCTCTGCTCCAACAACTTTCTTTGCGCCCAGCTTAGGTCCTTTCTTGGCCCCGAGAACTGATGTTTTCTTTCCAGTGGCAGCTGGTCCCTTGCGGACAGCTGTTGCCGTCCGGACAGCGACAGGGGGAGAAGAAGCATTGCCCTTTTCAGTGCTAGAAAGTGGAGATTTGGGTCGCGATCCGTTACCGTTGGGCCCCGGAGTGAGGAAAGGCGAGCTGCGGCCTCCAGAGGACGGTGTGCCAACACGTGAAGGGGGGTTGCTTGGTCTTTTGATGGATGGCTTGTCCCAAGATGAAAAAAAATCATCATCCGGATCGCCAGCGGGTGTGGATGATCCTTCTGGGGTAGCTGTTGCAGCCACGTCCGTGATCACTACCTCCTCAGGATACCTACATTAAGTTAGCCACATGAGGACTACAAGCATTTACACCACATGACCGGTGCCAAAAGTCCATTCAGACAGGGATGCAAGACATACTCTTCTGCATCTTGAGCTGCTCGCCGCTTCAATTCTTCTTTGTACTTCACCGCTGCACTGGAGGTATACTTTATTTTGGAGTCCTTGCTGTTTAACGCAGCTGTCCCGCCATGTGACTGGAAATATTTGGTAGCCGACTCATTTCCGCCCACTTTCATAACGCGTAGCTGTTCCCATTGCCATTCTATAATCAATGTCCCATTAGCATGTGCGATCGACACCGGGGATCTGTAATGGGCGGTGAAACACACGGTCAAGATTGGTTGAGCGAACGAATGAGATATGGACGCCGAGGTTTCGATGATTCGACGAACAGTCAAGGCAAAGGTATATTCCAAAGGGAACCGACGACCACGTCGGGTTCTTCGACCCGCAATCAAAACATATCTAGCTGATGTTAGTAGCCGTTGGAACTGCCAGGGGCGGAGAAGCGGAATGGCGGGGAGAGAGACACGGTACCTTGTTTGCGGGTTTGGTCTTTAGTTTCTCAAAGATTTTCTGAGACTGCGCCTTTGTAGCACTCATGGTCAGGTTCTGCAGTGTGCCTGGTATCGTCTCCGGGGTTCTGAGCAGCGGCAGCAGGCCTAGCAAAAGAGCGAAGTCGTTGAAGGCGAAAAGACATCAAAAAAAAAAAGGAGTTTCAACTTCGTAAAAGCGTCGATTCTGCCACTCTGGCCGCCCTCGCCGCACCTTACCGTTTTTGGAGATCACGTGGTATATAAGAGATACGGCTGATGTAAGAATGGGATAAGCAGATGACATAATCTATTGCTTATGTAAGTTTAAAGGGTTCCAGACGGCGGAAGAAGCAGAATTTCGAGCTTTTTGCTTCAGACATAGCAACGACGGGGAAGAAAAGACGAAGAGGAAGATGGTGAGCTGAAGGGCAGCTCATGGAAGCATTGGGAATTGATATTCTGACAGATAATGGTTCATTTACAGCATCATGAGTCCTCCAGCCCGATTTCGCCCGCTTCGACCTGATTCTCTGCTCGTGCGCCTGGCCCGGAACAGCAGCAGCAGCAGCAGCAGCAGCCTGGTTACTCCAATCCTTATACGATATAACCGTTATGCAAGCCAGAGCAGTCTAGGTGGCTCGAAGAATGGACAGTCAACGAGGAAGTCGATTACTGTAGCCAGCGATGACGGTACGGTCAAATGGGGACAACTTTCGCGTGCAGAAAAGGCTGCACGAGCTACACAGCAATCTGTCAATTTTCTCGTCATTTTGGCCGGGGCTGCGATGACGGTTAGTATGGAGACTACTGCAGCTATTTGAGCTGCCTAATACGGAGGGATTATGAGAAATATATACTAATTGGGGTATCGATTGCAGTGCGGAGTTTTCACGTTTCTATACCTCGACGTATTTGCGCCTGACAGCAAGACGAACCAATTCAATCGTGCAGTGAATCGCGTGAAAGATAGCGAGGAATGTTTGGCTCTCCTTGGAGATAGGAAGCAGATCCGAGCCTATGGGGAGACATCATGGAACAAGTGGACGAGAAACCGTCCAATTGCGTAAACAGCCCAACGCCTGCAAATACGGAGACGCAACGGCTGCTAACCAATCCTTTAAGCACCACAATTGACAAAGATAGTAAAGGCAACGAGCATATGAGGATGAATTTCCACGTACGTCATCATCTTCCCCGTGGTCCATTTGACCGAATTCTCACACCTAACAAACCATCACAGGTCAGCGGCCCACTCAACGATGGTGTGGTGTTGGTCCACCTGGTCAAGCTGGCTGGACAGAGTGATTTCGAATACCACCTCCTCGCTCTAGATGTTAAAGGTAAGCGAAAGGATTGAACTTCCATCCTTATCCTCAGCCTTGTGTACCAAAGTGCGCGGCTGAATGATTGAATGAATCTAGGTCATCGCCGAGTTTATCTCGAGAACGCCGGTGCGGGCAAGAAGTCCGGATCAAAAATTTTTGGAATCCAGTGGCGGTAGTTCACATGTTCTCGGTGAGTGTATACTTATGAGTATGTACAATATTGGGTATCTCTACATGTGGTGTCACAGTCCACCTCCCAACTCTGAAGCTACAGCCTTATGGCTCTGGTAGACCTGGAACTGGCTTCCGGTGGAAGTATGTTTATCTTGTGGCTTCATCTTTGGATCTAGTCCTCTTCTGTTATGTTAAAGTTGACTCCGGCGATATATGCGCCTTTTTTTTGCGACGGGCAATTAAAATACAGTGCAATTGTACGTATACGCACTTTGATTTCCGTTTATCTCTCCTGCGAATCTGACTGGCCCAAGGTCGCCGTCAATGCCAGGATAATTGCGGAGTACTCTGTACTCTGTACGGAGTACAGCGTCAAGATCTCCCGCATTGCTGTATATGTGGGCTGTCTAGGGGGCGTTTTTTTCCTACAAGGTCATCGTTTGGCCCCCCTCGCTCCGATGCATATATTTCGCCTCTCATCAGCCAACACTTGCAGGGATACGATACCCCGGCTTTTTTCTAGAACAAATAATTATTACCTGAGTCTCAGAGTTATTTCATTCACTGGCCGCATTCCTGGAGGGCAGGGGGCCACGCCTCTGATTACCAACCAACAGGCCGTCTGCTATGAAATAGTTCAATTAATTATTTCCATACCCCTACCTGGAAAATCAATAGATTTCTGATATGCTGGTACGCCTCGATAAAATATAGGCCAGAGTAAGCCACTAGTCACGGAGCATATATGGGGCCGGGCCCATAAATTGAGGATTACAGATAACTAGTAACTTATATCAACTGTTGGATCAAACCACACGAGCACGCTGCAAGACTGGCTTCGCCTCTTCAGATCTCCACCAGCTCTTTCCATCTTCCCCCGGAAAGGAGTATTTTTCCATGCTATGTGCCTTCATCTGCACACTATACCCAGGCTCCATGGGGGTAACGTAATACCCGTTCCGCACCCGAGCCGGATATTCGAAATGCTCATGTAAGTGGTCCACATACTCCAGCACACTCTTCTTCCCCGTCATCACCACATAGTCGATCGTACTCAAATGCTGGGTGTACTCCGGCAGGCCTACGCCTCCTGAATGGGGCACGACAGGGACACCAAATTTACGAGCCAGTAGTAGGATGGCTAGACATTCGTTGACGCCGCCAACTCGGCATGCATCCGGCTGGACGACTGACAGAGCGCCTGACTGGAGGAATTGTTTAAACATCACACGATTTTGGCACATTTCTCCGGTTGCGACTCCAATGGCGCCGTGAGGCGTGTCTTGAAGGGCTTCACGGATGGCTGCATGGCCTAGAATGTCGTCTGGAGAAGTGGGCTCTTCGATAAACCACGGCTTGAACTGTGCAAGTTCTTTCATATGAGAGATGGCCTCGGGAACTGACCACACCTAAACGCACAGTTAATAACTCTGGAATGATGACTATCAATCTGGCTTGACCATATACTTCTGAGTCGTAGGACTGTTGCTTTGTATAAATGTGTAGTTCGCTTATTTAGGCGAAAGGTCATCCGTATAGGGCAAATGGTCTTGACAAGAAAGATGACAAAAAATGGGTTGACATACCTGATTGGCATCGATCATCAGAACATTTCCCTTGTCGTATCCAATGGCATCCCGAGCGATCGCCAATCGCCGTTTATCCATGTCCAGGTCTCCGCCAACTTTCAGTTTGAAATAACGGTACCCATCCTGGACACTCTTCTCAAGCAGGCTCTTCACCTTCTCCTCATTGTAGCCGAGCCAGCCAGCACTGGTCGTATATGCCGGAACTGCTTGGTTACTTTCCGCCTCCTCAATTCTCTGCCTCTTGCCAGGCTCCACCTCCCGGAGTAACTTGATGGCTTCCTCAGGTGTAAGGGCGTCAGTAATGTATCTAAAGTCAATGCATGTCACCACTTCTTCGGGCGTCATGTCCGCGACAACTCTCCAGACAGGCTTGTTGAGGGTCTTTGCCCATAGATCCCACAGAGCGTTGACGATGGCTCCGAGCGCAAGGTGGATGACGCCCTTTTCAGGGCCGATCCATCTTAGCTGGCTGTCAGACACCAGATAGCGCCATGTCTTGCCCCAATCAGCGGTTAGAGATTCGAGCTCTTTTCCAACCAGTAGTGTTGCCAGCGCATCAATGGCCGTGCAAACAATCTCATTACCTCGGCCGATGGTAAAAGTCTTTACGGGCGATATTCTCTAGTCAGCCTGCAGGAGCGGAACATGAAAAAAAAGGCAAAAAAGCAAAGGGTAGACCCGACGGTTTGGGTGAGCGATCAAAGCTGAGAGGCAATGACAAGTCAAGGCGCATTATTTTGCTGTACAGGACAAGGTGGCCACATACATACCATGCCATGACCTGTGTGGGTCGAGTCAGTCTGTAGCACGCAGTAGGCGGCCGAGTAGTCAGTAGCTGCATTCATAGCATCAGAGCCAGTGTTGTCCAGCGATGTCTAAGAGTAATTCCCAATGGTCAGGCGCAAGTCATTAGCGAAGGAACACTATAGGACAAGGCCATAAGGCACGGAGTAGATACGGAGTATTCCGTCGTGAGTAAAGGGAGATCCTCTCCCGGCCCCCAGAAAGTAAGCAACAAGTAAAAGGCATAGTAACATACAGGGAAGCGCACATCGTGCGAAGTGAAGCCCGTGATCTTCATGCTGGCCGTCTTGTCTCGAAAACTGCGTATGCGGCTGTGGGATTTGCTGTTGATGCACTCCGTTTGAACTACTGCAAGATCCCTCTGGGTGATCGAAGATTTGGCTCTTTTTTTGCGCTTGATGCTATCTCAGATGTGGAAAATGGTGCGGCAGAGATGCGACCTGTCACCTTTTCTGGTTTCTCGGCCCGCTCGTAAGTTCGTTATATAAGTAAGCGGGCGCTAAACGGTGGAGAGATGGCCGGTGGCTTCTGGGTCCTTGCGCTGCCCAGGGAAGCCAAAGCAAGGCCTAAGGCAAAGCCTAGCAAGGGCCTGCAGAGGCGGGGAGGAGGGGAAAAGCCCGGGAAAAGGCCCGGCAAGAGCAAGGCCGGTTAAAGCCAGTGAAATGGTCTCTAGTTCAAAGGCTCGGGCTCGGTAGAGGCAAGGTAAATCAGTTAAAGCCTAGGTAAAGGTTAGTGAACGGATGCCTCTAATTAAAGAAACAGAAACATTGGCCCCATAGACATACTTATATATAGACATCCCTTCAGCTGTTGGCCCCCTTTTCATAGCAGCATTGCTTTATAAATGTCTCAACGCGGCATTTTCCCTGGTTCCTTGGTCTTGCCGTGGCCGCGTTGCATCCTTGAAGCAGCCGTGTTGCATGCGTCTGCATCTAGTACCAGTACCAGCACCCATGTTGAGGTCAGGATCGTATGCTGTCAAATTAACTGAGAAAAGCGTAAAAGCACTCGCCCGACGGCCGTCTGCAGCACGACGTAATATGCTCAATAATTCGTACCGATGGCCATCCATTGGCTGCGGTGGCTGCTCCCGATGCAGGCCATCTCCAGGACGCCAGACGGTGGAGCTTTGACTGGGAACGAGGCGAGACTCTTCCAAGCAGTTAAGTTAACAGCGAAGCCACTCTGATATGCATGCTGGCAGGCCAAGTTTTTTTCGTGCATGCAAGCCCTGCAAGGCCAGCAAGCCGGGAAGTGAAGCGAATATATCGGGGTGTCAAAGGATGAAAGTTGAAAAAGACTTCGCGATGTATTTTTGATGGCCCGGTACATTGCCTAATAGGGCAATCATTTGCATATCAACGATTTCCGAAGCGCTACGCTCCTATTGGCCAGTTAATTGTTTTTTGTTCAGTCTTATTGGCCAATCAACAACCACTAGTGGTGGCTCATTACTAAAAATAGGGTCATAATTAAGGATGATTAGTCATATCACATCTTAAGTTGACTTCCTAAGCATTTAAGGGGCATTAAGGGGCTGTGAAATCATTGTTAGTTAACAGTGAAAGTGCTCGCAGCTCCACAGAAACAAGAGCCTTATTTTGGAAGGACGTTTTAAGAATGGCCTCTGGTCGGTTAATCGATGTGTAAACCGAACCATGAGGTAGATGCTGGTCCTTTCTCCCTGGAAGAATAACCCTTGAATAGGCGACGAAGATCCCAGGTAGAGCATGGGGTTCCTGAACAAGTCCATGGTGGAAGGATCAACCGCCAGCAGCAGGTTGCATCCTAGATAAACCTGGGTGTACTCTGTACAATAATATAGGGGTGACTATATACCCCTGAAGGTCCACTGTGACTGCTGCAGGGACGAGACCCGAATAGTTAATGCTCTAAGGCTGTACTCCGTATATAGTATCTAAGAAGTTCGTTCGTATTGGGATTGCTGAAGGCCAGGCGCCCATGAACAGGGCCAACAGACGGACAGAGGAAGTAAGTCAGACAAAGAGACTATACTTCCATCCATGAATATTTTTGCAAAGGAAATTCATGGTTAACGCCCGGAGGGGTCTCTTGCATCCACTTTCATGTTATTGTACGTAGTAATCTCCGGCTACAACGCGGTCAGGGCGCTAATGTATTTCTTCTCAGGGGAGACTGGCCCTAGGGGTAACTCGCTCAAGCTGGCTCTGTCCTAGCTACTAGTCTCGCGATAGATAGTTCGTCACCCAAACATGACCATCTTCTGCCTCAAAAAGCGAGCCAATCTCTTGGAGACGGAACTGTGAACGCGCCGCCACGTTATGAGCCGAGTTGAGATAAGACCTTTATATTTTCTTAGAGGGCAAGGCCGGTCCCTGTGGTTCCCGCCTTGTAAGGACCTTAGGCGGAGCCCCTAGCTTTAATACCTAAAATGAACGGAACGCTGACGCTATTATTGCCTCTTCAGGAGCTCTTTGGACGGGTATGGCCGAATGTGATATGGTATTCGGAGCCGCCTCGCCTGCCAATATTTTTTTGGGGTCGTTTCAGGGGAATCGATTGCATCACGACGAAACCTGCGTAGAGAAAGATCTTGGCACATATTTTGTCTTATTGATTTCGTGCCACAGGATGCGCTGGAGCAATGGAGATGACGCGTTGAGTCGGTAGCTCGAGCATGAAGGTCCGGAGAACGGAACATGGCTGCATCAAGCAGAAGATCCGTCCCAAATACTCCGTACCAGGAACGAGCTTGTCAGAGCATCAAATGGCCACAAGTGGTGCAAGAGATACTAACATCACCAAAAAAAAAAAAAAAAAAAAAAAAAAAAGGAAGGCTAAAGCCTTGCTTTTCTCGTGTATAACTGCGATGTTATGGCGAATTATTAATATGGCGTGGGTTAAGTCCTTTCCTTTCAGGATAATTTGATACTAAGGCCTGGGAAAACAAATAAATAGATATAGATTAGCTAATACGAAAGAGTGGAGCCATATTAAGGTTTAAGTGAAGGTCCAAGCGGAGAGTCCCGTCTATAATGAGACACGCTAGCGGAGGCGCTAACCCCGATCGGGAACGCTTTACGAAGCGCCTCGACCGGGGAATTTGGTCGAAGTCGAGGGTACGGAGTAACCTGCATCCAAGTTGAACCCATGCATATACGCCAGGCTCCGTTCCCTGAGCTACTACCTGTTCAGGTGACGGGGTGGGGGGTGGAAGATGCATGCCAACGGGCAAGCAGCCGCTGTGCTGCTCGGTCGAACAATTGGGCGACCTCCTTAAATACCAGGCATGGTCTATGCTGGGAGGTCATTTTTCTTCACCCTTATTCCAGCCCCCATGACATTTGTCTTCTTTCTGCAGTTAATAGCGATTGTGTTGTCTTTTGATTCTTTGTTTTATTTTGTTTTCTCCTTGAAGCATGGGTTCCTGCATAAGCCGTCAGCTACCTGAGGATCAGGAGCGCCGAAGACCCCGACTATTAACCAAGTGGAAGCAACGCCGGGCACTGAAGAAAGCTGAACGGCATTTCAGAAGGGCTAGCCCGACGTTTGAAGAGACGAAGGAGATCGATACCCTGCGTGCAACAGAGTACACACCCTTGAAGGACCATGTGTATCTAGACTATACTGGCGCAGGCTTGTACGGTGAGAAGCAGCTCCGAACACACTTCGACCTGCTTCGGTCCAGCATCTACAGCGACTCCAGCTCGACTTCGAACGCAGCTGCAATCCAGCGAATCAGAGAACACGTCCTTTCATTCTTCCGCGCCTCTCCGGACGAGTATGAGCTCATCTTCACAGCCAACGCATCCCATGCTCTCAAGCTGGTAGGAGAATCCTACCCATTTACGCCGCAAGGCGAACTGCTCCTCTTGTGGGACAACCACAATTCTGTTCAGGGACTTCGGGAATTTGCCCGTGGCAAGGGAACACCCATCACCCATGTACCTGTTATGCCACCGAACCTGAATATAGATGAGGCGTTCCTAAAAAAGTCGATCTGCACCAGCTCCGATAGCCATCGACTCTTTGCATATCCTGCCCAATCAAATTTCAGCGGTGTCCAGCATTCGTTGAAATGGATTGAAGAAGCCCAAGCTCATGGATGGGATGTTGTCCTAGACGCTGCCAGCTTTGTTCCGGCGAATCGTCTAGACTTGTCCCAATGGCATCCCGATTTTGTCCCAATTTCGTTTTACAAGATGTTTGGGTATCCCTCTGGTATCGGCTGTCTGATAGCTCGCAAACAAACGTTGGCGAAACTCCAGCGCCCATGGGTATCAAGTGGAAAAGTCCCTACCATGACCATGACTTTGCTTGATAGCACCGACAGCTCCAACGGGGGCCAGAATCCGGTTGCGGCTCGGAAGTGGCACGAAGTATTCGAAGATGGTAGTGTCGATTTCTTCGGTCTTCCCGCCGTCGAGATCGGGCTTAACCATCTATCCAGCATCGGCATGGAGACTATCAGTAGCCGTGTCAAGTTGCTCGCCGGCTGGCTCATCGATCGCCTCCTCGAACTCCGCCATTCTAACGGCCAACGCGTCGTTATCGTATACGGACCCCAGAACACCGTCAACCGCGGCGGAACTATAACCCTGAACTTCTTCGATCCTACTGGCCGCGTCATAGATGAGCGTGTTGTGGACAAACGCGCTCTCCCTATTAATCTTTCTCTCCGCACAGGATGCTTCTGCAACCCCGGCGCCAGTGAAGCTGCATTCTACCTCACTGAAGAAGCTCTGCTCAACGCATTCAACCAAGAAGCAGCAGCGAAGGAGCAAGAGGGCAACCCGAAGACCTTTGACGAATTCCTGCTTGACATGGGTATGAAAACCGGTGGAGGCATTCGTATCTCCCTGGGCCTAATGACCAATTTTGCGGACTGTTTCCGATTCCTTCAATTCGCACACGGATTTATCGATAATATACCGACTGAGACGGACCTCAAACCACGGCCACATTGCTAGTCGATGGTTTTCTTTTGACGACCAATAATGGTTAATGATTGGAGGATATGTGATAATGACTTTTGGAAAAATTTGGGTATTGTTTCAAAACGGCGTTTGTGAAGTAAACGGTTGATGACTGCATAGGACACGAATCACGAAGCATTTGAGCATTCATTGATTTATATGTCTATTCTCTTCAGCTTATTTCTGGATTGACTTGTCAAATGTGATTAATATAGTGATGTTGTTGTAAGGTTGTAAAGTTTGCATGGTTAAATTTATTTTTATCTTATCTGATCCGCAAGCTAATCGAGCTCACCAATTGTTTCGTAATTCTTGCAGTGGAAGTTATATGCCTTTAGCCAAAACCAATAAAGCAAACAAAGAACAGAAAAAATTGTCAGTAGTTTCATTTCTAGTTTACAGATATCTCCGAGAGGAGAAACAACATATACTAAGAACTAGCCTGAGAGGCCTCTCTTTTCGCTCTCGGAGAAGAACACAATCATACGCCACAGCTTCTTCACCAGAACCTCCGCCTCTTCATCAAGTGCCTAGTTGAATAAATACGTTAGCAGGTCTGATAGAGACAATAAATAACAAGGATATGGAAAACTTACCCCTTCAAGCTGCTCCACGAGATCCTGAGGGTTACCTCGCTTCCGGATATGCTCCTCCACAACATCAACCAGCATCTGTTCCTGGACACCGAGATACTCCATGATCTTCTTCTCAACGAAAGGTTTGAGCTGGTCGCTAAGGACTGCCTCGTCCACAAACTCCCACTTAACATCCCACTGCCAGAGACCTTCTTTATCTGAAGGGATCTCGGCTGCGAGTTGCCTGGCAGCCTGAGCACGTTCTTCATCAGTGAGTCCTGCAGTTTCGGCAATAGAATCGAATTTGATATCTGTCAGGGGGCGTCTGGCAGTTGCAGAGGAATCTTCTTCGTCTTCAAGCAGACCCTCAACTTCAGCAACGGTCCTTCGTTGAGCTTTCTGAGCAGCGGCTCCAAGGGCCAACTTGAATCGCTGAGGCTCCTTGCGCGGCTGGGTGCGAGATTCCATCTCCTGAGCTTGGCGGGCGAGGAAGTCTTCTGCCATACCGCGAGCTTGTTCTTGTTGCTGGGCTTCTTTAGCCTTTTCTCGCTCCTCGGCCGCTCTGTCGGCTTCGTCCATGGCGGCCTCCCGATTTCGGAATGTAGCACGCTTGCGAATCCACACTCCACGGTCAGCATAGTATTCTTCTACCTTCCGGCTTGCTTCCGTATCATCATTCCACTCCCGTAACCGTTTTGCCATAGCTCGCTTCTCTTCTTCCGCACGCTGTCCTTCTTCCCGCTCTCGATTCTTTTCTCTCTCCACAGCAGCTGTCCTGCTTCGTTCGCGGTTTAGCCACCGTCTTTCCTGATCTAAGGCTTGTTTCTCCAGTTCTGCATTTCGCTTCTCCTGGTGCCTTCTTTCTACCTCAGAATCGCTTGCATCAGTATCGTCCTCTTCCGGAATAATCTCCGTTTCATTGTTGACAAACGATACACCCTTTTGGTAGTCCTTTGGGATTTGGTGTCCATATCCCTTTGGTCCAGATGGGGCATTTGGTACACTTCTATCACGGGGCCCAAGTGGGATCCCATTAGCGCCGCCAGCAGGGCCAGACGTTGAACGCGACGGAGACGACAGTCTGTTCGAACGCGAATGGCCAGCATTCCTAGCTCGCTCTAGAGACTCGATCTCCTCTTCTCGCTTCAGTCGCTCGAGATCCCGACGGTTGCTCCTTTCACGGAACGCCGCAATCTCCTTTGCAACAGTTTCTCTCATTTCAGCAGGGATATCTGAAAGCTCATCCTCCACAGTGATCGGAATGGTAATCACTTCAGCAGAAGTACCATCAGCCTGCTTTTCTCCATCGCCCATCGCCGTATCACCATCCTTATCCACCCCCTCCCCTTTGGCTTGAGCGGAAGGGTTGGTAAGTTCTGCTAAAACAGCCGCAAGATTCTTTCTCGCAGTTTCGAGACGTGAATGTACTGCTTCCGGTTCTTGGGTATTGTTGGATTCATACTGCTCAAGGTATTTAAGGGAGCTATCATCGACAACAACCTACAAACTTGTTAGTACTATAAAGAAAAATAATAATAGGATATATAAGCTTACCATTAGTTTACTCATTTCAACTTCTTCATCATCCTTTTCACCGTCAGACGGCCGCTGTTTGTTGACAGGAACTTCGATATCCCTTAGCACCTCGACAGCAGTATTAAGACTTTCTGGGTCCTCGTACTCTGCAAAACCAAACTTGCAAGGCTTATTGTCCGCATCAGTTGCCCGAATCCAGCGCCTGAGGTTACCCGCCGATCGCAGAATGCGTTCAACGCCTTCGTCACCACCTGTGCCTTCAGTTATACCACTAACAAAAATTGTGCGTACAATTTCATCCTTTGTCGGCGGTTGCAGCTGCATGATCGCTTCGCGTATATTCTGACGCTGCGATTCTATTGAAGCTGCGTGGTGCTGGCCTCCCCTGCGCCCTCCCACATCTCCACCCCGCTCACGACCAATTTCATGCGGAGTCGTCGATTTAGGAGGGCCTGAAGTCCCTAGGCGAATTACAGGCGCGGAGAAATTGATATTTGGCATGTTCGCGGGAGGCTGGAAGTTTGGTGGAAAGCCGCCGGGCCGGCCTGGCTGTTGGGCGTTGTGCTGCTGCATTCCCGGTGGTGCACCGGTCCCTGGAGGTGCCATACCCGGAGGTGCCAATCCTGGCGGACCTTTTCAACGATAAGAAACCACGGGTTAGCTATACAATGTGCAAATTACGCGGTCAAAGGGGACTAAGGAGGACAGGCGAAGCTCACCACCAAGGCCTGGGGGCGCGCCAGGATAGCTCCCAAAATCTGGCGGTTGGCCATATGGCCCTGTAGCTATAGACAAACGGTTAGCATTCGAAACAAGTAAGTAAATTGGCCAGTCCTCCTTACCTTGGTATGGATTATACATCCTGCTTCTCTTACACACGTCCTATCCTGGTAAAAGCAAAGAAACGGTAGAGGACCAGCGCTGTAAACGGGTTCAAAGGGCGGTCGGTGCGTATGCTTAGCACGGCCAAGCAGTCATCTCTGGGAATATCCTCTGTGTTGTCTCACTTCACGTCCGCTGCCACTTTTCTTGCATTTCTTCTTGAGCGCTTTTGATGCTTTGGATGCTTTTGATGGAGGTTTTTAGTCGCAGCGGGTGGCCCGTGCTTGATGTCACGTGCCGTCGTTCTTATTTTTACTTTGACTTTTATTTTGACGAACGAAATCGACGACGACAACAATGACAACAACGACAACAACGACGATGCAAATGAAGACGAGGCCGATAAGTGAGGGTTAAGATGGAGCTTGGTAGATGAAACCTATGTTGTGGATGTATGCCACAAGGGCTGCATTATAGAAGGACTATGTTGATGTTTATGAGAAAAGAGAGGCTACCCGAGTACAACGCCATCATTGTGATACCCTGCTGTCGTCCACATACTTAGCCTCAAGTGATCCACACGGTTTAATATTGAGCTGTTAGAACGTGTGAATGCGAAAGAGTGTTTTTCGGTTAGGAAGCAGGTATACTTCAAGACCTTTCAAATCCCAGTTTTTGGATTCCTTAATCTTACCTGGGTTAACCATGCTTGATATTCAGTCAAAAGCATGAACTGCGATAGTCATAGTTACAAACGTCGAGAAAGGTAGTTCTTTGAATTGACAACTCCCAGTCATGCGAGAAATAGACTACCGAGACAGAAACGGTCAGCAGGCTATCTTCGAACAGGCAGTAAGCTTGTTTCTGATATCTACCGGGAACTAATATGACTATTATAATCTTTGGAACGTTCCGGTGTGATAACTCATGTATTGAATTCATTCGAGTCATTATAAGAGCTATTCTAGACGTGCTGCTCGTTCTCTATCCCTGGAAATGTTCCCTGCTACGTCGCAGTTGCAGTTGTATCACCAACGCAATCATATCTATAGGTCCCTTAGACTTGAATGTGCTAAGCACCGATACCTCGTGATTCTAGAAGGTGTACGGAAGTCCGGCCAATTCATTGCTGGGAAACTTCCAACTTTCCTGGAACCGGTGTTGATGAACGGTTTGATTCATGCGCATGTATTCAGAACGACGCATCTTGTTCATATTACTTCGATAACTTTATGGACAAGAGAGAGACCTTGCGATCCGGGAATACTAGAAAGGAGGTCAGGATGATCAACCTTATCGGGGCCATCTTCCGCCTGATATACAATAGAAGGCAGGTCAAGACCAAAGGCGTGAAACCATGTGGTCCTTCCTGCATCGAAACAAGGTAAGTACCCGTGCAGATCCGGATCTTTCCCCAGTTTGATTCGATGGGTCGACCTGGATATACTTGGACCGGGCCGTACAATTTGGCAATGATAGTCAAGAAGCGGCAGATCCTGTCATGCGAGACAGAGTCATTCACTACCTCGAGTTAGCTAGCCTTCGAGCCGTTATTCGAGGGTTGTATATAATGTGATTGTCTGCGCCGGAGCTCAAGAGAACTGCCGTGCAAAATCTCTTCATTAAAAAAGAAGAAGAAGAAGAAGAAGAAGAAGAAGCAGAATCTCGCGACGCACATTCAAGGCGTTTCTCCTTGGTCAAGGCACAAACATGCTCGCCTCAATCAAGTCTGCCATGACAGGAGCCGCTAATCTGGTGTCTGGGCAAGCGGAAAACACGAAAAGAGCCCGTGTGAGAGTAGTGAACAATACCACCAGGCCTATCGTTGCCATCTCGGTGATTCACAAGTGCAGCAGCAATGGCCACAAGAGCCATCAAGAATGGGCGATGGTGCAGCCGGGCAAAGCATCCGTGCCTGAAATGGAAGTCGAATACCCAGCTGGTTCTGGCTCCAGTTCCGATGCTGGCGGTGACAGCTCGTGGCTTGCCGTCTGGTACAGCGAGGACCTGCAGGCGCTCTGGCACTGCGAACCAAGCGAGTCGGGGTTTCCGGTCGATATGCTAGACAAGCAGTCTCGAGAGGAGATCCAGAGGGTTGAAGAAGCCCTCGCTACAGGCAGCGAGCCAGGTTCTAAAGGCGCACAGCTAGCTACTGCGCTGGCAAGGTCAACGACGGATCGAGCATTTAATTCGAACAGCCTAGAGGGATTAGTGCGTCATCAGTTGCGGGACGAGGATGCAAACGAGGTGACTGAGTTGGTTATCAATGCCAATGAGACGATGACTTTTAAATCCAAGTCTGGCACCACAGAGGCCAAGGTTAACTCTCAGCCAGCTGCCGCATAGCCCATTAACTAGTTAATCATTTGACGAGGGCTCCGGCACAGAGATGATTGATGTGTTGGGCTTGAAGCTGTGAGTTACTTTCTTGTCCAGAGTTGCTGCTAAGTTGAATACTCTTTTTTTGTTTCGGGCAGTGCAAGCGACCTGTAATTGAGCCACGACTGTTCAGGTAGCTTAAGTTAAATTAGCTTGATGAATAACCTGTTCGTATTGGATGCTTATATTGCCCCTTTTTTTGAGCTTCGTTTGTTGCTGGCCAGTTGCAGTTGAAAGGCTGACTGGATGGCTTGAGCCTGGGCCTGGTCAAGGATACATACAGCTAGCTTGGTGATGGCTGGGCAGACGGTGAACTCGACGGGCGTGGTCTTCGTGTCAGCCTCGCATCGTTCCGTCCGGTGTGTTCATTCGTAGTTAGTATTATTGATGAAGGAATTAGGCTGTCTACTAAAAAAGCCCTTTTCAAGGGGCGGCTTCTTGTACGATGAAGAAAGGAACGGTGAGCAGGAGATGCCTCTGTTCGATCAAACGTGCATTTTTTCGGCTGCCGCCAATCTCGGGTGTTAACCGACAAATTATCTGGGGGACGGACGGGCTGCTAACTAGTATGGGTACGGGGAAGAATGAATGGACGGTAGGAAAAAACTATTTATATCTTCTCGTGGCTGCGGCTTAGAGCCCACCAGGGAGCCTGAAGGGTAAAAAGGGGTAAACAAGCACATTGACATATGGACTAGACCTCGTTTCCAGCTGCGACGGTACTGGTTACGGAGACGAATGGCTGAACCTAAGCAATTTGTTCATGGACGTGAACAGCTCGTCTGCCTTTTGCCTGGTTTCAGCCGCCCAAGCCCATAGAGGAAAGGTGAGACGTATAAGAGGGAGCTCAAGGCCCGCCTGGGGGACTTATATATCTCTTCCCCATCTCAGAATCAGTCATTCGTTTGTTCCAAGCCAGCAAGCAGGAAAAGTATCAGCACATACCTTCTTTATACCCTCTAATATCTTCTTAATCCGTTAATTCCGATCTTCGTCAAGATGCGCACTGGTATCTTTGCTCTTGCTGCCCTCCTCGTGAGCGGCGTCATGGCCGATGATGGAGAATGGCGCAAGGTTGAGCCCCATACCATGAAGGCTCTCCGTGAGCTCCGTGCCCGTCAGAGCGGTGGCTCTTCGTTCATCCCTGGCACCACCCAGGGCCACGGCAAGAACTGTGTCGACGCCTTTGGAGCTGGATACGAGCTCTGTGCCGACAGCAAGGTCTGCTACAACCCAACTGAGGGTGATCTCTGCTGCTCCGAAGGCTGTATGTCCATGAATTCGAGCCCTTCATTCTGATATCAAACGCCTGCTGACCATCTGATAGACCCCTGCCCAAATGGAAGCTTCTGCTTGACCAAGGGATACTGCTGCCCCAACATGAGTCATTAACTCTCGTGGTATATATATATATATATCAGTAGACAGGCTGCTAACTGCTTTCCAGGGACTTGACCCCAAGGAGTGTGCCAAACAGCACAACGTCGAGCTCCCTCCAACCTATGGCAACGGCAACACCAAGCCCTCTGGCGCCCCCTATCCCACCGGAAGCACTCCTCCCACCGGCGGCTCTCACTCTACCGGCGCTCCTAAGCCCACTGGAACTCTCCCAACTCGCACTGGCACTCTTCCCACTGGCACTCACACCGGCCCAACTGCCACCAGCCCACCAATCTACACTGGTGCTGCCACCCACAACGCCGTCCAGGGAGCTGCCGCCGCCATTGTCGCTCTCGGCCTCGTCCAGAATTTCTTGTAAAGAACCTTCTCGATCGTTCCCTGACCTTCTCTCACATCTCTATCTGCTAAACGAAACGTAATGGACGGTGGTTGTCGCAGGGGGGTATCTCGTATCTGGCGGGCAAAGATGTAGTAGCTAGCTTTTGTGTCGATATGTAATCTAATGCTGACTTCTTTGGTTTCATCTCGTCCCTCGACTCGTCTTCTTCCTCTTCTAGGCGTCTTCCACCGTCTTCCAGGCCGTCTTTTGTCTTCTTCATCGTCTGTCGCCGCCGGCCCCGGGTCTGGACAGGCTGGGCAGCTCGCAGGCTGAATAATCCAAGGATTTTAGTTGCTTGCTCGTGGCACCGCCGGCCCGGGATACCTGATCAAGCGCCATCCGGGACAGAGGAACATGCAGGACCCGGTCAGAGCCAGCAGCAGGCCGGTTGTTGCGGGTGTCTCTTTGTCACATAGTTATTATATATATATATAGCTGGTGACCTTGGTCGTGGGCTTGTCGACGCGGGAGGTTTTTAGTTACTAAGTGCAGTTGCTGCCCCTCAGCTTGACATCATCATCACCACCTCGAACTCGACATTGAGAGCAGAGCAGAGGACACAGGCCGAGGACGACGAGACCAGACGAAAAAGACGAGGCACAGGATACAGTCGAGATGCCATTCGCACAAGCAAGCAGCCTGGAGGCCTGGAAGGCCCTGGAGCAGCACCATACCACCGCCGGGCGCCACATCCGGCTCAACGAGGAGTTCCAGAAGGACTCGCAGCGCTTCGAGAAGCTGTCTCGCACCTTTTACAATGAAGCAGACAAGTCTGAGACGCTGTTCGACTTCTCCAAGAACCTTGTCACGGACGAGACGGTCTCACTGCTCGTCAACCTGGCGCGGGAGGCCGGCGTCGAGGAGCTGCGCGAGCAGATGTTCAAGGGCGAGCCCATCAACTTCACCGAGAACCGGGCCGTCTACCACGTTGCCCTGCGCAATGTGAGCAACCAGCCGATGCAAGTCGGCGGGAAGAGCGTCGTCGAGGACGTCAATTCGGTGCTGGAGCACATGAAGCAGTTCTCTGAGCAGGTCCGTAGTGGTGAGTGGAAGGGCTACACCGGAAAGAAGATCAAGACCATCATCAACATCGGAATTGGCGGGTCAGACCTGTAAGTCTTCTGTTGGGGTCGGGTAAATACTTACTGGTTGGATGCATGCTAATTGATGCTGTAGTGGCCCTGTTATGGTGACGGAGGCGCTGAAGGCGTATGCTGACCGTAGCTTCGATATCCACTTCGTCTCCAACATCGATGGCACTCACATCGTCGAAGCTCTGCGTAACTCAGACCCAGAGACGACTCTCTTCCTCATTGCCTCCAAGACGTTCACCACTGCCGAGACGACTACCAATGCCAACACGGCCAAGGACTGGTTCCTCAAGACCGCCAAAGACGAGGCTCACATCGCCAAACACTTTGTTGCCCTCTCTACCAACGAGCAGGAAGTCACCAAGTTCGGTATCGACAAGAAGAACATGTTCGGCTTTGAGTCCTGGGTCGGTGGCCGCTATTCTGTCTGGTCTGCTATCGGCCTCTCCGTCGCCCTGTACATCGGCTTCGATAACTTCCACCAGTTCCTCGCCGGTGCTCATGCCATGGACAAGCACTTCCGCGAGACTCCCCTGGAACAGAACATCCCTGTCCTCGGCGGCCTGCTGAGCGTCTGGTACAGCAACTTCTTTGGCGCTCAGACTCACCTGGTCTCCCCCTTTGACCAGTACCTACACCGCTTCCCGGACTATCTCCAGCAGCTTTCCATGGAAAGTAACGGTAAGGCTGTTACCCGCAACGGTGAGCATACCAAATATACCACTGGTGCCATTCTCTTCGGTGAGCCAGCCACCAATGCCCAGCACAGCTTCTACCAGCTGCTGCACCAGGGCACCAAGCTCATCCCCACTGACTTCATCCTCGCGGCTGAATCCCATAACCCCGTTGAGGGAGGCAAACACCAGCGTATGCTTGCATCCAACTTCCTCGCCCAGGCAGAGGCTCTCATGGTCGGCAAGTCTCCTGAACAAGTCAAGGCCGAGGGTGCCCCTGATGAGCTGATTGCACACAAGACCTTCCTGGGCAACCGCCCTACCACCTCCATCCTGGCCCAGAAGATCACCCCGGCTACTCTGGGTGCCTTGATCGCATACTATGAGCATGTCACCTTCACCGAGGGTGCCGTCTGGAACATTAACTCCTTCGACCAGTGGGGAGTTGAGCTCGGAAAGGTCCTTGCTAAGAAGATCCAGAAGGAACTCGAGACCTCTGGTGCTGGAGGCGACCATGACGGCTCAACCAGTGGCCTCATTGCTGCCTTCAAGAAGAAGGCATCCCTTTTGTAAGTAAGGGATAACCACAAATGACTTTGTTTCTCGTAGCTAGATGATGATGACTTTGCTGCTTATGCATTTAATAACTATGAAAATTTGTATTGATTCCCGGCGGTCTCTAGGCCATCCTTGAGCATTCTATCCTGGTAAATTTAATTCCCAATCATAATCCGTACTGCAGTATCTTCCGTAGATCTTGTTCGTCTCGTTGCCGCAGCAGTAGATTGTATAGATTTGCCCCTGAACACCGCCAAGTCTGATAACACTGTGTGCTTAAGAAAATGAACCCCAGAAAAGAAACATCTACCGCTCTACCGTCCGGACGCCCGCAAGGGAGGATTATTGCATTAACATGACTTTTCTCAAGCGGATACTGATATCCAGCCCGCTCTACTTGGTACTTTTCTCCTGTCTTTGCGCCGTCGTGAGCGCATCCCGGTTAACACACCTGGACAATCCCGCAAAACCAGCATACAAATACGGCGATAACCTCCCCATCAGCTGCCTGAACAGAACAATGTAAGCTGGCCCCCTTTCGGTTTTGCTTGTTTTATGGAATCGTATTTAACTATGAAATCAACCAAACAGTGACGATGGCCAACACGTACGAAATACAACCAATTCCTACCATCCAGCAGCGATCACCGATTAACCAACCAACAGGTCACCGATGTAGCTGGAAAGCTCCAATTTATACCCTTCCCCGAATGCAATGAGACCGGCTTGCCTCTTGCGTTTCACTATGGCGTCTCCGAAACAATAACCTGCACCATCGACTCGCTCTCCGATTCCCTCTACCACCTGCTAGAATACTACGTCCACTCCGATGTTCCTCTCGCATGCCGCATACCTACCGCCCCCCTAGACGGGTCCAGCACCAAATTCAGCTCGAGAAAAGATGACATCAAGGAGAAGGACAAGCATAAGAAGAAGAAGAATAAGAACAAAAGCAAGGATAAAGACGAAGACGAAGCAGAGAGCGGGGATGAGCTTTCTTCGACGCCGTTTACGCCCATAACCTTCGCGGTGCAAGGGACACTCCAGTACAGCCATTTGCACATGTGGACGGATATGAATGTTCTCTTCCACCGATCTACAAGCGTACAGTCAAAGGGCGCAAAGCCTTCCAAACACCACATAAACGGCCAGGTTGTAGCTGGATCGGCATATTCGTTCCCACTGGCAGCTAAACGGGATAAGGAAGGGAAGCTTGACAAGACGATAAGCGTGCCCCTGGACCCCTGGGCGGCGGGGAAAGGGAGCAAGATTGTTCGTGGGGAGCCAGTCACCTTCACATTTAGGGTCGGATGGGTGGATGAGAGTGACGTCTCCTTCCTCTCGGCACAACCTCGTGGAAGTTGGGGTGCATTCGGAATGATGATATGGCGGGCCAGCATGTTTGTTATGGCCGGCGTGGCTGGAGGTATTCTTGCTATATGGTGGGATCGAACACTTGGATCAAGACGAAAGGGAAGCCGATGGGACGGAGATGGGTTGTTAGGCAGCATACCCGGTTCATCAAGGGGGTTCTTTGGATCACGACGTGCTGGTACGGCGTCCAGCAGCACTTCGAGTATAGGTGGTTATGGAGGTTACGGGCTTAGCAGTGCTGGAAGTCATGGTTACAATGGCTTCTCTAGCGGGAAAAGAGACTGATCTCCATGATGTCAAGGCATCTTGTCCCTTTTTTTGAATGGGTGTTGATAAAAATAGATTTTGACACGTTTCTAGGAGGAATCTTTGATACAGTAAATGTACATGATAAAATGAAATTAAAAGGCATTTTCAACCTTCATAATGCTAGTTATACATTGGACTTCACACGCCCATAGCCAAAGAATCCACAACCAACAGCCAAAGATTGGGGTCACACTACCATCCCTGCCTCTTCAACTCCATGCATCTAGCAACCTGAACCTTGAACGACTTCTTAAACAATTCTCTCCACAGTTTCGACTTTCTGGCCTTCCGCTTCCTGCCCCGACGAAGATGGAACCTTTGAGCGTTTTGGTCGGACCTGATCTTATTTCTCGAAACCACACCCTCCAACATAGAAAAAGCAGTCGTGGCATCAATGCCTCTCGACGGGTCAACTGCAATCGTACGGCCTAGTTTCGGGCCCAGTTTTAATTCAGGGTATTTCGGAACAGCACGTCCTCCCTCGTTTGAGCTGTTTGCAACCGAGTCTCGAACAGCTCGCGTCACCCGCCCAACGTCTGAATTTTGAAATAGGTTGCGGAATCCAGCTGTGACGTTTGAGCTACTGGGCGGATTCGACGAGCCCACTCGCTCATATACGTCGTCTAGAAGGTTGCTAATCGAGTCCACATCAAAGTTGTTCTGGCTGGGTGAAGGTGTCTTTTGCTGTCTTTGCTGCTGCTGGGAGTCTGCCGGGGCATCTTTCCGTCTATCCGAGAGTGGCTGGGATGTAGATATGGTTCGTACCGGCTGGCAGAGAGGTTGTGATATGTATGCTGGGCGAGAGAAGTGTTGGCGGACGAGGCGGGAGGTGTGCTTCGAAACCAGGCCATTGGCCATCCGTCGGACGTCCATCACGACTGGCACAGCTCAATGACCATCCGATGCCCCGTATCAGCGTAAAACGAGCGTCGTGGCAGGTTATATCGTCTCTTTCTGCTGTTTTCTTGTCGCTGCTTCGTCGTCCCTTTTTTAGGTAAGGTTGAAAAAACGTCCATCGAAAATGCCATCGGAGAAACTTCGGCCTTTTATTTTTTCCGTTTTCTCTCACGTGACGTCCATCAAGGTTTTATCGATAAGGAAGTTTCGACGTCGCGAGTTGAATTAAAAGAAATAAAAAAACATTTGACGATCAGCAACGACGACGACGACGACGACGACAACGAAGAGCAGACGAAAAGAAGGCTAGAAGTAGTCTAGAAGAAGAGACTGTTCTGTGTTGATAGCAGGAGAGCAGTGTGCGATACCGCCAGAGTCATGTCGTCCATCACCATCGCGAGCCTGCCTAGGATGGCCCGGGAGACGCTCTCTGCGATCATCCAAACACCCGCAGCGGCCAGCAATCTTGCTATCATAGATGTCCGAGATTCTGGTTCGTCTGTTCATCCCCTCATATCCCTCCGTGCGACGTCTAACTAGGCTGTAATGTCGTCGATATAGACCATGTTGGCGGCAACATCGTCACTTCGCAATGGGTCCCCAGTTCCTCCTTTGATGTTCATGTCCCAGAGCTTATCCGGACTCTCAAGGACAAGGAAAAAGTCGTCTTTCACTGTGCTCTGAGCCAGCAGCGCGGCCCATCAGCTGCTCTAAAATACGCGAGAGAACGAGCTAGAGTGCTCGGTGAGGATGAAAGCGCCAAACAGACCATCTTTGTTCTTGATGGGGGCTTCGTCAAGTGGCAGGAGGTCTTCGGCAACGACCCGAAACTCACTAATGACTACGTCAAAGATATCTGGGACGACTACTGATTATAACCTTTACGATGATGGCCTTTTTCTTGCCAATTGCTTTGCGTATGATTAGCGCGTGGTAGACTAGTCTTGACTAGACTCTATTGACGGTAGCGAGGCAGTCGGCGTTCTTACACTTTATACATAGATCTTGCTATCAGCATGCGACTCACGATTACAGAACATCCAGAAACAAAAAGATCAAAGATTCTAGGTGTATATATACATGTAGAAGTATTTATTTGGTGGAATTACATCCGAACTTCACCACCAAAACCTACCGGCCGTCTCTTGCCCCCGCTCTCTGGAACAATAGCCATGGCCTTGTAGATCCTGCCCATCCCTCCGCCCCCACGCTCAACGAGACGCTGCCAGGAGCTTTCTATCTGCTTGCGCTTCTCCTCATCTTTCACATTGCGAAGAAGCTGGGCCGCCCTTTCTGCAATACCCAATGAGCGTAGAAAGCTCCCCTGCTCATTAGGGCCGTATACTTCAACACCAGGACTAGCATCGAGAGCAGACTCAGCAAGGCCAGTGAAATCCACATCAGCGCTAAGGTCGACTTCTCCAGGGGTTGCGAAGGGCGACACGACCTGGTGGTTCTTGATTCCGCGCAGAGAATTAACGGGGATGGTAGACGATGGGCCATAATCAAGTATCAGCGCTGCGCCAGCTGGGGTGCGGGTCGGTGAAGGGTTTTTATCAGTTGGATTGGGTCCTCCTATCAGCCGGGCTATTTCTTGGGCGTAGGTATGACTTTCCGGGCTGATCTCAATTGTTGATCCACGAGTCGACTTAAGGGCCTTGTACCGAGACGACATTTCTGGCATGACGAGCGATGCCGGAGTAGGAGACTTTGCGAGTGCTAGTCGGAACTCAAGCTTCTTGTCGTTCTTGACGCTACTGTCGTCGCCATCGGGCTCGCGTTCTGCCTCGGGGTTTGTAGCAACAACCAGCTCTCTCCATTGTGTTCCATTCAGGGGTAGCGAAGGTTGTCGAAGTTCAGCCGGTCCAGTCGGTGTATTGATTGTTTCTGGAGGAGGGGAGTGAACAGCTTGGAATGCATGGATCGGAAGGGCATCGAAGAACTCGTGAGCAATGATGAATGGTGCCTTATCCTCGGCTGGTATCATTGTTAGTTTGTAGTTATTAGGGGTTCAGACAAGGATGGAAGTACACACTCTGAGGCAATATGCGTATATGCTCTGTCCAGTAAACCGGTACTCCTAGGTGAATGCTAGTGCTCTTATAGCCAATATCACACTCTTCCATCGGTGCATCTCCGCAGAGTGCCTTCTTTTGGATTTCTCGCAACGTTGGACTGGCCTCTATCATGTATACTCCCTCAACACTCGAAGCAAACCCTTTAAAGTTCCTAACCGACTGATACGTATCCCCCATCAGTTGCAATATTCCATGCTCATTAAGTAAAGAGAGACTTACTCGTAATATATCCGCCATCAATGTTCCCTTGCCTGGCCCAAATTCCATCAATTGGACTCCACTGCTGCGTCGTCCCTGAGACAGCCATTCCGTTACTATCCATATTCCTAGCAGCTCGCCAAACATTTGAGATATCTCCGGTGACGTAACAAAGTCTCCCTCCTTGCCGAAGACATCACTGCCAGGTGTTCCACGGGACGTATAGTAACCACCTTCATCGGAAGTAAGGCACTGACGCATGAAGGCCGCAATCGAAATCGGTCCCGTAGTCTACGTCAAGAAAGAATTAGCAAACCAGCATTCAAATCCAACTTATAAACAGTATTCAAGGAGTAGCACGGGAAGAACCAACATTGATTGCATCCGTGATTCTCTTTGCCAGGGGAGTCGACCATTCCCGCTGCGAAGCCGGCTTCAACGTGGATAGACACCGCCGGCCGTTTGGCACTGCCAGCCGCGCGGGTCGACTGGCATTTGCCAATCGGTATACTATCCTAGAGGCACCATTGCTCATCTTTCGGCGATGAGAGGTGCTGTCTCGACAAACTGTGACCTCGAGGAAAGCATTCAAGATCTCAAATATCCAAGACGGAACAAGCATGCTTCCCGAGAGGGTCGTGCTTATGTAATTAAGATTCGACTTCGGCGTTTTTAAGCGCAAAAAGGAACGTTTGGGATATAAAAAGAACAGACGACCGTGAGATTTGACTGATTTGACTGATGGGCAGGATTGGCATGCACCGCAACGATGACAGGGAGGTGAGCTGTCAAATAGAGGCTCTTCCGATGCGAAGGAGTCTTCTCTTGGTGCCCGGGGTCTGTCTTGTGCTGCTAAATATGGGCTGCCAGTTGTGCACAAGTTTCATCAAGCGAACTACACCCGGAGATCAGACGGACATTGATCTTATCATGAGAAGGATAAATATGTGGGAACATGAGAGAGAAGACCATGTCGCACAATATCACTCAGCTAGGGTGCTATCATGTCTTGAGCTGCTCTAGAAGACTTTTGATCAGCTGAACAGTACTTAGCGGACTACGAGTGCCCAAAGCACCAATATGCATACTCCTCCGTCACAACATTTCGTCGCAGTTAACTCGCTGGCCGAGTAGCAAACCACCCCCGCTCATCACGTCTACATGTCTATTGGTTGAGGTGTAAGGAATTCTAGTGTGCTGCAATAAACGGTTCTTTGATACCAAAATTATTTACCGCTTTATAATTGACATTTTGAGAGCATGTCAATTTTACGTTTTGAGGCCACCATCCCGGCATTGAAACGATTTGGGTTCGCTGGCCACCTTGCACGGGGCAGTCTGGGGACTGCTGAGAGGCCATCAACAAACCACTAAGTGGCAAGTTCATTCCTCTGGTTTATGGGGAGCGTATCTGGGGAAGACGGAGCCTGCCCGGGAGTGGCGCAAGATTGGGGAGGAATTGATTCTGAAGTTTGACTGAGAGTCAATTCCTAGCAGGTGTGATAGGTGTCTTGATGGCATGTTTATTGATGTAATAAATTAGTGAATACCCTCCATAGGTGCTTCTTGAAGGACAATAATGACGTTTAACTCATCAAATTATGAATTTCTAGTTTCAATTGGTCTCAAGCTTTGAGGTTTCTTATCTGCTTAACTGGCAGAATTTTATGGTTTGTTGTCCTTTGTTGCATCATAACAGCCACATTCAATGGCTTAGCTCGAAGTTTCGGTAGGCGAGGAACATCTCATGCTTTCGTAATCTCTCTATTATTATCAAATTCACCATTGTTTTGGCATGGTTGTTGACTCATAAGGCGGAAGTAGTGTTATTCATACAAAAGCAAAGAAGTAAATGTCCTCATCAGATTGGTTATTGTTGTACATAGGTGCAAAATGCAGAGATCAGGCGATGGCAGAGTTGTTTCACGATCGAAAGCTCTCAAGAACATCCAGTATGAGATCCAACGCTGCCGCCCTAAAATGAGTGGGCCAAAGCATAGAATAGTTACTAACGTCTTCGGGTCCTAGACGGCTGGGGGTCAACCATCATTGTATCATACAAGTCAGGCTTGGCTGAATTGTGCTGTTTTTCGGTTTGTCTCCGAGCTCTTCCCCAGTTCTGGCCGTTGTGCCTATGGTCTTGATCATAAGAATTGGGCTGTTGCTGCCGTGGCTGTTCTGCTGGGTCTGCAAACCCAAAGCGACCATCTTGAAACTCCGCAGGACGACGATTTTCACGGCGCTCCTGGTCTGCCAGCTCACGACTACTATCAAATGCCGATTTGGTCCTGGGAGCAGAAGCAGAGTTCGATTGCGCTAGGACTGTAGCCGGGTTAGCTGTATCTATCCGAACCTGGATTACTCTTCCATCTGCCTGTACGTTTACGTTAGTTGGAATGTCAAATCATAATAAGGTGGAGGTAAACCAAAGTTGGGGCAAACCTTTTGTGAATTGAACGCCGCCACAACGCTATCAGCTCCTCGTCTTTCAGCGAATACCATCTGCGCTGTTACAGAGGGGTATGACTTTGTAATTCTGCATTGGAGAATATCCCCTCCAGTGGGGCTGAACGCAGCTTCAATGTCCTCCGCAGTGGTTCCAGGTGCAAAGTTACTGCCAATGACGACACAGGGGCCAGATGCACGGCCTTTAATATTCAAACCAGGTCCTTGTGTCTTCGTGCGATTGGTATTATCAATTATCGGGAGAATGCCTGATAGCAGGCGACTTTCTCGGGTTTGCCGTGTGGTTGTAGGCTTTGCCTGTTGCTTCTTCACGCCCGCGGACGCCACACGCTAAACGATGATGACTGGTCAGGATACGTTCTGGTTGGGCAAGCTGCAAGGATCGCGGGGGAGGGAAACCTTTTCGACTCTGCTCGCAAGGCTCCCAGTAACTGGGGAGCCTCTTCTGCTAGACACATTGGATCCTGGGGTGCCCGATTTTCTTGCTTTTCCGAAAAAATCGTCTGTCAAAGCTTGCTTTTGACGTCGGAGACGAGCTATATAATTTGAAGCAAAATAAATCAGCTAAAGCGAACATCACCATAGTTGTTATACATTTACCATAAATTCCACTCACCATTATGAATAATTGCTTCAAAAGACGCGCTCTCTTCCTTCTTGTTCGGAGCCATCTCGGTCCAAGGGCGTTAGTTAACAAATTTGACGGGCTTAACAGCCGTTGACTATAGGGGGGGAAGGCTGCAGTAGTTAGGGCCGATGTCGAAAACTCCCCGAGCTAAAGACTCAAAGATCCGTAGTTTGGGTGCGAGAGAAAAGGCTGGAGAGGCGAGAGTTCATGAATGTCCGTTTTGTTCAGTGACGACATGAAAGCTGAAGTTGCGAAGAAGCGCGCGCATGCGTTGCTGACTCATCAGCCTCGTCTTTTGCCGCCTTTTTTTTAACTGCTTCTTTTCAACGTCGAATATCAAAAAGTTAAACAGGTTTGAGAAGAACAACTTCGACCAGAAGACGGAGACAGCAGGCTTGAGAGTAGGGAAAGCCTCACTACCACACCATTATACCCCAAGGTTCAAGGTTCTCCGGCAGCACCGTGAAGTGCGTCATTGCATAACTCAATGGCAAATTCTGGAATTTATGTTGTTATACTCCAAACCAGATGGCAACTGTCGGGGCCAAAGTCTGGGTCACAACAAACCACCAGCAAAAGAATCAACGGTTCGACCCAGCAGAAAGAGTAAAACGTCAACTAAGGCTTTGACCATGGCTGTTGCTGTGTTGGCAGATAAGTATATCCTCTCTCCTTGGGAGCTGGATATTTTCTTCTTCTTTATTCAGCCCAGGTAGCTGTGAATACACAGCTATAGACGCTTGGTTAATGGAGTTGGAAGAGATGTTTCTTTCTTCTAATATTTGTTTCTATTTCTATCGTTCTACTGTTCTCCTTCAGTAATGGAGGCCGGTATGAATTCGTCTGCTCGCCAGGTCCCTAACCGGGATACTGGTAGGATGTCTGTTGAATCAGCTACCTCAAGGGGATCAGTGAAGAGGAGCTGGAGTTTCCCCCGGGTCTTTGGAACGCGTTTTAACAGACAAGTGTCTGTCCTTTCTCCCCGGTTGATATATCTCCCGGTTGCTCACGTACATGTAGGGATCAGCCACCGGTCCTTGTCTCGGACGGCATGGAGACAACAGACCGCTCCGTTTACAACACCCAAGGCCCTGGGATGAACTCCAGGAGCACACGGAGCAGCTTCCGCTTTTTCTCCCGCCAAAAACTCTCCACTCCGCCTGATTTTTCCGAAACACCGCTCAGGCGAGCAAAGTCAGCGCAGGGCTTTTTCGCCGGCACATTCAAGGCAACCCCATTTTTCAAACGTGCCAGCGTTGTCCCGAACCAGGCTGACCGGAATGTGTCTGATGATAACGGTGCTGTCTTCGCGGGCTCTGACTCGGATCATGAGAGTGACGTGCTTTCAACGTTTGCTCCCATACATCCTGCAGAGTCGCTGGCAGTTCAGTCATCTGGTTCCCTTGGAGAGACTAATGATAGCCATCAGCTTAGCGAGGAGACTCAAGAAGCAACCTTGGAGGAGAAGAAGGGCCTCCTCGACCCCACCCCAGGATCATCAACTCGATCCGTCATTTTGGTGTCTCGGAGACTGAAGAACTACTTCCGAAAAAACAGGAGTTTCTGGTCTCATGAGGTATGTTAACACCTTGGCTATCTCTGATCTACATGCGCTTCACAGCCCCTAACATTGAGTAGAATCCAAAACCTCGCCCTGTTGGCAGACGTACTCCTGCGAACAAAGTGAGTCCAGATTGCTGCCTCCTTCCTCGTTCAATGTGCCTCCTCCGTTTTCCTGCATGAAATACATGGAAATAGCCCCTTTCTCTTGTCACCCTTTCTTCCTTCCCCAACAGGTTTTGTCGTTTATTTACACCTAGCCTCAAATCGACGAAAGGGATATGCTGACCAACCATAGCCTCCCACAGAACGTGACCTTGCTCGACAGCGTCTGTTAGAAGATTCTTTGCTCATTTGCCCAAAGAAGTTCCCGATTGCGGCGCAGAGGCTAATGAGTGGCGGGATAACGGCCAACTCATCTTGTGTAGCCTCTCTATCCGCAGTTTCTTGTCGGGGTCATGGGCGTTCCACAATTAGTCTTTCTTTAACCGCTTCGTCTTCTCGGTTACCAACTCATTTGCGGTATATGGTGGAGGCTATCGATAGACCGTCAGCTGAGCAGTTTATAGATAGTACAAGCGATCCACCATAGTCCAGGCAGGTATATGGGTTTGTCTGTTCTGTAATAAATGTTCAATAGACATAAGAGCTCGATAATATAATGACTAATGAGGTGACTTTCATCGAACCATAAAAGCGTATGAATGGATAAAAAGCCACTACTAGGCTCCCTAAATCTGTACCGTGCACCAGTCCATGAAGACTAGCATAATCAAGACGCACTCAGGTACACTTCCAACATGGGTACAATATCTCTGCTCCAGCTTGGCCCTGTCCTTACTAAACAACTCTATAACTAACCATCTCCTCACCTGGGGCCTATGGAAGGCTCCTCTACCACCCGACATTTTCATCGGATATGGAGCTTCACGCAAGTCCCCAGAGCAACAGACCCGATTTCCTGTGCTAAGGTTATGGTTTCAGGGGCTTAGCTACCCAGTCCTAATACTGCTATCCCTTTGGTTAATTGATGCATCACGTATGCTTGATATTATAAGCCGGATAATATCCTTTCCAGGATGGCGATTATGGTAGTAGACATTTGGTGGCACCGATTCTCTCAAGGCACAAAGGAGAGTATCAGGCCAATACCCGGGGTCCTAACTTCGTTCGTATACCCCTGAGTCACGAAAGGGCCACCTCCATCAGTTTTACCACGTCCGATCACCCCTGCCCCCACGTCCTCTACTGCCTCGGTCGTGGCTCCTTCCGCGGCCTCGGCCTCTACCGCCGCGGAACGATCTTTCACCATATTTGTCCGGAGTATGTGGCATTTCCACAGGTGCTTCACCACCCATCATCTCATGCAGACCTTGCGGCCGTGCAAGACGTCTATACCAACCATTTTCAGCGTCATTATCGTTGCTGATACCATTGTCATCATAGTTGAGCTCCGAATGTCGTAGATTTGAAGGTGGATGGGATGGCCCTTTCCCTCGATTGCCTCCTCCGCGTTCAGCTTTCCCTTCACGTTTTCCTTGACGCTTCAGCTTGAGCTGCCTCTTATACTCAGCTTCGGCCTCATCGTCTGAGAACTCTATCTGATCATCTCCCACTTCCTCATCATGTAAGTTTGAAGCATCACTTCCCTTTAGACCCCTGAGTGGCTGTGTGAACACAAAGGTTGAATGGTCAACAACATAAAAGACAGGGGTTTCTTTCTCTAACCCAGCTTCTTTAACAGCTTCTGCATTTGGGAATCGAACGGTATATAGAGGTTGCTGAACCCGGCCGAGTGTTTCCGATACCACCCCGATTACCTTCAGGTTGACGGAGCATAAAACTGAGCCTGTTTCTAGGACCTGATATTCGCCAGATATATTTGCTCGCACCAGCACAACATTATCCACAATACTCTCGACATTTCCTAGCATCTCAACCTTCATTTCAGGAGTGATAGTGATGTCTGGCATTGATACCATCTCATCTGGCTTCTCGTTCGCCGTTCTGACTTCGGTTATCACCGCCCTACCACTGTCCCCTCCTTCATCGTCCGATCCGCCCTCTGCAGCCATCAACAAACGAGCCTGCTCTTCAGGACCCAAAAGTTCATAGTCATCATCATCATCCTCGTCAGAGTCACTTGAGTCAGAATCAGTCGAAGACTCAGAAGAAGACTCATACGGAGACGAGTCAACCTCCCACTCGGGATGATCGCCTCCGTCAGGTTGTTGCTCTCCTTCAGTAGCTGGGGGTATTCCCTCTATCATTTCGGCCGCAAGCGCAGCGATTTCAGCTTCTGCGGATAGAGAAGCATCAGGTATGGCATCCGTCCTCTCTTTAGCATTAGGGTTACCAACAGATTCGGTAATGTTCTCATTGGGAACCTCTATTCCATCCCCAGACATGACCGTATCTACCCTATCGGTAGTCTCGGGTACCTGCCCGGCCGTGTTCGGTGACGGTTTAGACACACTTTCAAGCGGTTGATTACTACTATTCCGGTGGTCTTCTTCACTGAGTAGCGTAAGACCTGGGATCATAATGCGCGGCCTCCCAGATCCTTCTGTGGCGATGGTTTCGTTGTTCGAAGGGACTGCATTCTCCGGTTGAAGAGACGGCCCCACGTTTAACGGTGTATTATAAATGTCGCTCCCCTCATCCTTTGGTGTATCCGTGGCTACTGTAGAAATTGCACCATTGACTGCAACGGAGTTATTGTCCATCCTGGGCTGCTCTGTGGGTAGGCTCCCAGTGTGAGTGTCGTCGCCCATCGTAGTGTCCTCCATGATATACAAAGTACAATTCAGGGTCGAACAAGGAAAATAAAGGTATCTTCGATGATCTCAAATCATAAATGTAGCAGATTCTGCAGAGACAAATCAAAGTGAATCAAATTTCATCGTCACAAGCTGTGGTTTTATATCTGCGACTTTTGTCGAAGCTCAAAACTTTCTTTGGATTTTTATAACTTTTTAACCTTTTGCGATAAGATAAGGTGCCACGCTAGCATTTATAGGGACTAGCACGGGCTCCATTCTTGTTTATATCATGTGATATCGCTGGCGCCCGCCATTTAACTAATGTTTTCACAATTTCGGTTCAGTACCAGAAAGTATTGATTTATTTGCTTATTGCCTACAGTTGCATACCGTAAAGGATAGTCGGGGATGAGTCATTAAGCGGAATGCATATGCTTCAGTATTAAGATGTCATAATATATTTCTATGGTATCTATTTTTTCTATGTCACTGGCTAAATTCATCACATCATATTCATCATTACTATGGCTAAACGAAACAGCAAATGAGGACCATTCTATACGATCGTAATTCTCCTCCTTTGATCCAGATTCAACCCCCAGACTCGGAATGACATATGTGCTTGCATTTCATGGTTTTCTTGAGGCCGTAGCTCCTCAGGAAGGGCCTGAGCCAAGACCGTGTCTCTCAGGTCAAGGCACCGCTCAAACTCCGACCAATTCCAGGAACATTCTGAACCAAACGCCTCCCCATCATGGAATATACCCCCTTCCCTTGCCACGGAAAAACTTTTCCAATTCGAAGACCACTTCTCCGGGAGATCTATCCCTGGAAAGAACTTCATGCTGCTTCCAAGGGCTGTCTGTGAAAAGGCGATTGCATTCATGAGTTTCTCAGTTACTTCCGCCCATGATTGAAAATCGGAGGTATGAGACTTGATTGCTTCGTAGGCTGGGTTCCAAACACCCTCCAGTAAGTCCGGAGCCAGGGCCGTAGGTTTGAGAAAGGACCAGAAAAATTGTCGAAGGTTCCAGGTATATTCCGTCTTAATACCTGTTGCATAGTTATCAAGCAGGCCTACCCTTTCTTTGACAACCATCGATCCCACGCCTGACCAGTCCTTCTGGTGCTCCTGTTCCGTATGCCGGATGAATTTCCAGATAGCAGCTTGGTCACGAAGCATCCAGCCTAGTTTCTCTTTGTAACCCTGCCAAGTAGATTTTAAATCTGCTTCTAGTGTATTGAAGCCCGTCAAGCGAAGAATTCCGAAGTCGACAACAGCCTTTCTCTCGGCGGTAACTAAATCAACGTCCGAATCCATCGGAATCTGTGTGGGATCAACCTCACACAGCTCTAGTAGACTTGAATAAAATTCTTGAATCTTTTGGGTGGTGGTTTGAGAGACGCGTAGAGGCACATCAAATGGCCATATCGTCCCATGCTCTTGACCACACGGAAGCCGCCACGTCACATCATCCCCATTTGGATAGGCAAGAGCCATACTGACCAAAGACAAAAATGAGTATGTTCCCTTCCTTGGGTCACGTCTCAGAACAACCGGGTAAGGCGACTCGTTCAAAAGAAATATTGAATCATCTCCTATCTCATATTCCTTTTTCTTCAGCGAAATCAGTATATGGCCATGGAGTCCCTTATCAATGACTATAAAGTGCTGGCTATTTTGGGGGTTTTTAGTCACACTGTCCATAGGGAAAATATCACATAATTTGACCGCAAAAATACTCAGCGACCCGTCTGAACCAATCTCTACCTCTTGATCAAGCCCTACCGGCAACTCCTCTGGGTTATGAAACTCAAAAGGGTATAAAATCAGTACAGACTTTGATTCTCCAATTTCAATTTGGTCATCAGTATCGTTGACCCATGTAGTTATGTCGAATGAATTGTCTACCTGTAGACGCTGGGAGTAATCGGGAACCCAAGAAGGTAAGTTTAAACGATGTTCATCGGCTCCCAGTAGGTCAAATAATCGGAAGCTAAGGTGGTTCTGCAAAAGGTATGCAGTTATTCCGGTATAAACGACCTCTACAGGGAGACTGTAATCGATGCTAATCCCAGTCTCACCTAGAAGTCCAAGTATTGCATAGATTTTGTCTCGGGGATCTAGGCATTCATGAGTTAAGGCGTGGCATAAGATGTTATAATAATCTTTGTCTATTAATCTTGTCCATGCATCTTTATTGAATAATAGAAGTGAAGCGCAGCGCCGTATGCCGTTCGGCATGAAGGAGAAACATGGCCACGGTATCGAACGGTCTCCACAGAGTATCAGTGGGTGTTTGGCATAAATGAGCTGTTGGAGAAGCCATAGACCGGAAAAACATGGCCGCTTGAAGAGAGATTTCAGTGCACTCTTCGGTCCCTCCTTCGTAGCGGCCACCCGACTACGTACTGACCGTCTGGATGTTATCAAGCTCAATAAATCTAGAGCAATGTCGCTATCCCCAGAAGGAGCTCCAACAAAGATCATCGACTGTAAAGCGTTCGCAAAGACACACTTGATCGATGCAACCCATCGTGACCTATCATCGTTGCTATGTTGGTCTATGGAAATTAAGTCTACCCAAACTGGTAGTGCTGCGCTTAGATGTCTGACAGCTTTGAGACCAGCTTCGCAGTTTTTCGTGACATATATAACATCGCAACTGGGATCAACATATACCGGGCGATTCCTTGGTTGGGGTTTACAAAGTATGTTTGTAAATGCCTCTTCTGAATATTGCGGTTTCTGTTCTGAAAGCTTTTCGTTGGAAGGGTCTTCGGAAATGGAAGTAGGGTCGTCGAATGGGGAATAAGACAAAGTTTGGTAGGGCGGAGCATCCAAGTCCCTGAATGGTAAATCCATTAAATCTCCTCGAACAGGGTCATCACTCTGACCGGGGTGCAGCCATAACAACCTGATATATCCTTCAGGGCAGGTGTCAAGGCTGTTGGTATTTGCTACCGAGGGTACCAATTGCGGATCATGGGGAGGTTTAGATCCTGGTAAGGACGGGATGGATATGTCATCATAGGAAGTATTAGGATGGGTATATTTCACTGTTTCCGGCCAAGAAAGATTCAAATGAGACAGAGATTCGATGTGAGGAACAGTCAACGTGGAAGTCACTTCAACTGACTCTTCGTGTGACCAGCGAGATAAACAAGAGCTACATCTAGCTGTATCGTCTATGATAACAACATCCGGCCGTTGACAGCCAGCCTCATGCCAGTGATGCATTTTAGCAATATATATTGTTCGTCCGGAGTGTGGTAGAAACAGAAGTAACATGATGGATTCTGTGACTCTTTCCATCGAAATATAAATAAGGCAGCAACTAGATTAAACTTTCGGAAAGAGCCGCATCCCGGTCCAAGGTTAATCCGATATAAAGTGACGTCACGTGGCAGGTCTCGGGCCAAGATGGCGTTTTCGACCTCCATGTTTATAATCCAAAGCATCAAGCTCAACTCAAGCTATTCTCCGCGTTTTTGACGAACTAGTCGACATCATGCCACCTCCTAATTCCCCGGGAGATGCCCCAACGTCGACATCTAAATCAAAGTAAGCTCCAAGAACTTCACTTTCAATTCTAAGCCAGCTAATCTAGGGGCGAACTAGACCGGCTCCTCCGCCTTTCTATCTTCCCATTAACACAGTATTCTACCTATGCCTTCTCTCCAACACCCTTGCCGCCGCACTATCACCTATCCAGGACTGCGATGAAGTCTACAATTACTGGGAACCCACACACTACTTGACCCATGGTCACGGCCTACAGACATGGGAGTATTCTCCCGAATACTCCATCAGGAGCTGGTTATATGTCGGTCTACACGCTGGTCTAGCTAAGGCTCTGGGATTGTTTGCACGGACAAAGTCAGCGCAATTCTATATGGTGCGGTTAGCCCTTGGGCTTTTTTGCACGATATGTGAGACGCGCCTGTTCGCTGCGATTTCTCGGTCACTTAATCCGAGAATTGGGCTTTTCTTTCTTGTGATTGCTGTATTCAGTCCTGGGATGTTTCATGCGTCTACAGCAGTACTGCCGTCCAGCTTTTCGATGTACATGTCTATGCTGGGGTTAGCTGCTTTCCTTGATTGGCAAGGTGGATTGAAAACCGTTCAAGGCATCATTTGCTTCGGTATTGGGGCCATGGTCGGCTGGCCATTCGCAGGAGCATTGGCTATACCATTTTTACTAGAAGAGATTGCAGTGGCTTGGTCTCTAGGAGATATTGCACCCGCTATCAAGCGGGTATTGGAAGGGGTCGTAAAATGCTTGTTAATCTTGGTATGCCTTTCTGTTTACAAATGCAGCCGCTCAAAGTACTGACAAGTAATTTATTGGCAGTCTGTTGTGGTCTTGGTTGACAGCATATTCTACCGTCAATTCGCCCTTGTTCCATGGAACATTGTGGCCTATAACGTCTTTGGCGGCTCCGGCAAAGGTCCCAACATTTTCGGGACCGAACCATGGACTTTCTATTTCAAAAATATCCTGCTCAATTTTAACATGTGGGCCGTTCTTGCGCTCTCCAGCATTCCTCTGCTGGTTCTCCAGGCCCTGTTCCGTCCTCACAAAACCTCTGCACAAACACTTTTCAGATCAGTGACTCTGGTAATGCCGTTCTACATGTGGTTCGCCATTTTTACTCTTCAACCTCACAAGGAAGAACGGTTCATGTACCCTGCCTACCCGTTCCTAGCGTTAAATGCCTCCATCAGTCTGCATATTGTTCTAGCATATATCGGATCGTCGGACCCGGGGACATTGGTTGGCAAAATACCCGCTAAAGTGAAGCTCATTATAACTGTCATCCCTGTATTACTGGCCATAAATATTGGACTTTTAAGGACCGTAGGCATGGTGACAGCTTACAGCGCTTCTCTACAGGTATTTGATGCGCTACTGCAAACGGACGGTGCTCCACCTGAGGGTTTCGTATGTTATGGAAAGGAATGGTACCGATACCCATCTTCCTTCTTCCTTCCGAACAATAATCTTCGAGCGAAATTTGTCCAGAGCGAATTTCGAGGGCTGTTGCCAGGGGAATTTGCTGAGTCCGGGGCTGGTCTTGGATATTTCCCAGGAACATGGACTGTTCCTAAGGGGATGAATGACCGAAACCTGGAGGATCCAGAGAAATACGTAGGTTTAACGACAACTTTTTACCTAACGGATGCTAACATGTTACTAGACTGATATTTCTCAATGCACATATTTGGTGGATTCCTATTTCCCAGGCGACAAGGAGACTAAGCCCGAGCCTCACTATATTCTCGACACCGAGATGTGGGAAAAGGTCTCATGTAAGCCATTCTTGGATACCCGCCGCACCGGTGTCTTAGGACGAACAATCTGGATTCCAAACCTACCTTTTATACCAAACAAATACCAGCGTGTCTGGGGGGAGTACTGCCTGCTTAAACGAAGAACTGCCTGAGACAGTCAACGCATATTTTATGCCACAACTACCTGCTGCTCTCAACGAAAGCTGCTATAGTCACTGACGCTGTGACACCTATCGATGCTATCAGAGATGGCCTAAGGGCCAGAAAACTCCCATACAGCGAGCAGGTCGAGCCAGATAAATGCTCCGGATGGGTTGGCAGAACAAGGAAGCCTTGCAGACGATGAATGAAATGACCGAGTTTCTGACATAGCTGCTTGTGCGGAGGTTTTGCATGGGGAGGAGCAAATAAATGACCAAGGGAGGATATATGTGAGAGGACAACTTATGAGCCGTGCTGGGCGCTATTATAGGATAGTTGCGTGAAAATAAAGGGATATAGCGATGCTTCCGTCGAAAGAAGCGATCCTGCCGCTCTACTTGGAATACTACTCAGTATTTGCCAGTCAAATAGAGAGCAAGGACATACGTCTGGGTGTGAGTTGAAGAAGAGACTAGCAGCTAATAAATGCTCAATAATCAATTAAAATGTCAACTTCTCCAACTGAAGAGTTATAAGACCGTGACTTAACGACTTGAGCAACAGAAGCATATAATAGGAGACAGGAAGCACCGTATGAGAAGCTAAATATATACGGTCTAAGGCTGTAGCTACTGCTGTACTGTTGGCTGTCCGGACAGACTTATACTTCGCGCGTATAGGCAGTATTATGTAGCGAGAGAAACAGAGATAGCTGAATCTAGATGACTGCAATGGCTCTCAGAAACTGAGGAGAGGATGAGATGAATTCAGGGGCAGTCGAGGTAGGACAAGCTAGAAAGCATCATACTAGCCGTGTGAGAACTGGGTATATGAGGCACTCTGTTAGTGCTTCTTTCAAGCAACAAGCGTTGATGGTGTAGCGGTAGCACACGACTCTTCCATCGCACCGACTGATAAGTTGAGATCCGGGTTCGACTCCCGGTCGACGCAGCGCTTTCTTTTTTGCTCTTTTTTTTTGTCGTCTTCGCTGCTGGCCTTCAAGCCGCTGACTAAGAATTCTTACTAAGCCCATCCAGTCAATGACAAAGCGCCGATTAATAAGCGCCTGCCAACCTCGGTTCAGCGCCGTTCTGGCCAGCTTGCAGCTCGCAGCTTGGTTTTGGTTGCTTGGTTGCTTTCCAGCTTGCCCTTGGTTCGTCTGGAGTCAACCAGCTCGCGAGACCGCCTATATGACAGCTTGCTACGTCGTCACCCAGCGACTTTGACAAAAACTTAGATGAAAACAAAGCTCGCTCAAGGCCAAGTCAATTCAAGATGAGAAAAAAAGCTGTCGACTATGCTATGATGCGTAATTGTATACCTATTCGTACAAAATGCTCCCTTCCCTCTCTAAGTAACGCAAACGCAAAATGCAAAAGAGATGCCGAAAACCACCGTGTTTTCCATGCCCCGTTCAAATTGCCCAATGCACGCATTCGTCGCCCATTTGCATAATTTCACTCCATTGCGTCGCATCCTAGCCAGTTTCCAAGTTCAACCGCAGTATGGTGTGCGGTTCGAATGCTGCCGTCATCGTTCATTATGGTTTTTTTCTTTTCTTTGCTGCGATCTCATGTCTCCTTTGCTTCGGCGCCGAACTAACTCCACCAATCCATGTTCATGTCGATGATGATGTTCCATGCATGTTTCATGCCCAACTTCATGTAGGAGAAAAAAAGGGAAGGGGAAGGGGAAGAAAAAGAAAAGAAAAAGGTAAAATATGGAAAAGCAAAAAAGAAAAAAAAGGTAATTAAGTATGAGTTCGTGGTAAGTATATATAAAAAGTTGCTTATTTGGAAAGGGAAAGAAACAAAAAGAACAAAAAACAAGGGGGAAACCAGCCAACCTATGTAAGTAGTTCGAACCAAAAAAAAAATCATAAGTACTCATTAACACGAACAAGCAGAAAGGAGAAAAACGTCCCAAGAAGCCTCCCAGAATGACAATAAAAATGAGGAAAAACGCTTGCTTTGCTTTCATCTTTCATTGCAGTAGTAATATTTTGTGTAAGAATGTCATCTTCGTCTTTCCTTCCTTGTTCCATTTCCTTTTTCTTTCCAGAAAGAGAAACTCCGATATGCAAATGACGAAAAGGGAAAGAATGGTGCTAAGAATAGGATAATTGAGTAATGACGTCACTGCCAAGACGATCGATCGGCCAGGCCCCACTTCGGTCCGGCTTTTGATTCTGCCAAACTCTAAAACCGCGTGGTTTTCTTGGTTGGGGTGTGGCCGTGACGTCATAATAAACATCATACCCTCGCTCTCGAAAGGTAGCTTCAAGCTCACTCTCGAGATGGGGTGTACGTGTTTGTGTGCGTGTGCGTGGGTGTGCGGTGTGCAGTGCGTTGGGTGCTTTTTTTGTTTTTTTATTTTTGCAAAAAAGTCAGGAATCCACAATTCGATGAATGCTATGAGCCAGGGGAGGAAGGGGAGAGAGGAGAAGAGAAGGAGGGAAGGGAGGTTTAGTCCTCGCGACCTCTTCGCTTCTGCTTGCCCGGCCAGGTGACGTTGGGGTGGACGACGCGCATGTGCCGGGTAAGAGCATCGTTGCGCGAGAAGGTCTTCTCCTCAGTGCACAGGTGGCAGCGCACCTTTTGCTTGCGGGCATTGTGTATCGTATCTTCATGGCGTGTAAGGTCGTACGGCCGCGAGAAGATAGAGTTGCATGGCTTGCCTGTCGATGGGTTGGTGCGCTCACATCGGTGAGGTCCGGCCTGGGAGTTACGGGCGCTAAGTCCGCGTGCGCCCAGCGTCGAGTTGTCACGCGAGAGCATGTGTGAGCCCGGCGTAGTCTGGCGGTGGGCCTCGCGCTTATGTTTCTGTAGCCGAGCGGGTGTCTCGAAGCGCCGGGTACAGCCGTGGTAGGTACAGCTGTAGGTGCCAGCTTCAGAGGTAGTGTCGTCTGGTCTGCCGGTAGCCAGATCTGAGTCGTGATCCTGCATCTTGCGGTCGACGCCAGCGGCCTGGTCAAGGCCGGCTAGAGCGGCAGCGAACTCGGCGCTGTTCTGCTGGTGCTGAGGGTGGCTGTGGTGTTGTTGATGTGGGGGCTGGTGCTGTTGTTGGGGAGTGTTGGTCTGGTATTGTAGTACGTCCGCACCGGCAGTTTGGCCGAGGAAGTAAGGCTGGGGAGTATTCTGGGAGGCGGAGGAAAAAGGGGCAAAGGCATCGTTGGAGAAGTCGGTATTGGCCAGTGTTGTTGCCACGGCAGCCTCAAACTGAGAAGCCTCGGCCTGGGAAGGGAAAAGGGGCATGCTACTGCTGTCTGCAGGAGACTCGTGGAACTCAAGCATGGCATCCTTGGGTGATATGGTCTTGGGCTGCTCCTCGTGGCCATTGTGGCTCATGAGCTCCATTCCTCGCAGGGACGAGTTCATATGCGATGGGTGGTGAAGAGCATTCTGGAAGACGCTGACCTGCTGGGCCCAGGGAGAGGCATCCCGGGGGGAGTTAGCTCGGGCGTTCATGTGACCCTGAGTTGTGGCTGACGAGTTGTGACTCAGTGTTGATACGGAGGGTGGGAGAGTATAGGAGGGGAAAGTAGTTGCTTCTTCCTCAACGGCGTGAGCTGCCTGTTGCTGACGATGCTGTTGTTGTTGATGTTGTCTCTGCTGTTCAAATACAGCTCGTCTCATTGCCATTTCCATATCCGTATGGTCCCCTGCATTTCGGTATGAGGAAGACGGGTCGTAGGAAGGGAATTGTGGCTGACCCAGAAAGGAGGCCTGCACGGGAGTCTGCTCGGGGGTGGGCAGAGGTTTGGAGGAGCTTTGGTCGTAGCCTGAGTAGCTGTGGTAGCCTGAAGTGAGGGAGACGTTGGAGGAAGAGGATGGGGTGCGCCTATGCTGGGCGGGTTGCTGATGCTGTTGTTGTTGAGGTTGTTGTTGTTGCTGAGGTTTTGCGATGGCGCTTGGGGTTCCGGATGTCTGGCCGGGTGCTCTGGGAGAGAGACGGTGACGGTTACGTTGTTGTGGCGGTAGCAGCGTCTGGAGATCTCCTTCATAAGATAGGCCGGACTGCAACAGCATCTGGTTGTTATTGTTGTTGTTCGCGGCGGCGGCGGCGGCGGCAGTGGTGGTGCGGTGGTTATTATTGGTGTTGCTGCTGCTGGTATGCGGCGAAGACTGGAACACCTTTATTGAAGGTGGCGGTGGAGTATGCGATAGACCGTCTTCCCGAGGCGGGAAACTCTCGTCGGGCATAGAAAAGCCGCCTGCGCCGTGGTAGAAGGAAGAGATGAAGTCGGTCTCAGGAGAGCCCTGGACAGAGAAGACAGGAGAGGCGGAGTCGTAGGCGTAAGGGGAGGCCACGGCAGAAGAAGAAGACTCTGGCGGCGGCGTAGAGCAGCTGTGGTAAACAGGGAAGGTCAACGATGGACTATCACTGATATCACTGAAGGTCTGGTGGTGGTGATGTTGTTCTTGCTGTTGGTCTTGCTGGAGGTTGTGGTTGTGGTGTTGGTGGTGTTGATAGGAAGAGAGAAGCAGCTGCGACTCGAGCTGGTCAAGCTGGTCGAGCTGGTCTTGTAGGAGGGTTTGCTCTGCAAAAGGGCCGGTGCTGTGGCGGATATATGATGTCGACAGTGAAGGGATGGAGGACAGCATCCTCTCTAATAGATATACCTGCCCGCGAGTCCGGAAAAAGTTGCAGCGAGGTTCAAGTGGCGAGAGAGCCAAGACCTCCAATCAACCTCCTTTAGGGCTGAAACTCTGTGGAATGCCTTTTGCTTTGTACCACTGGATTCGAATCAAAAATAATAGTAATAATAATAAAAAGAATATAGTAATTAAAAAAAAAAAAGAGGAGAGAGGGGAGAAAAAGGTGGGAGGTGGTTTGTTATATCTGCGGTGCGGCAACCCAATGCGTGGTCATGGAGGTCCCTTTTTGCGTTTTGGCCTTTTTCTTTTTTGCTTTTCAGCTCCCTTCGGGTGGCCTTGGTAAGTTGGTGTAAGGTGTGGCTGGTGCAGGGAGGTTATGCTGTGTGAATTGAAATGTCGCCAGCTGCGGCTTT